CGAGAAGAAGCCTGCCTAGTGTCCGAGGAAACAACTTGGGGTGCATCAAACTGGGGGTCAGAGAGAGATGGAGAACTGATAACAGACAATTTAGAGACGTGTGTAGTTAACTGAGTCACCTGGTTCAGCAGTTGATGATTATCTTCCACAAGAGTCCGAATCAACTGGTCATGCTGTCCTAGCAACGTTCCTTGAGCCTGGATAGCTTGTTGGAAGCTGTCTTTGTTTGCCCCGTGCTGTTTCTCTGTTGGGTCCATGGCCAGATCGTTCTGTTATGGCTATGGTTCAACCCAGCACTCAGAGAAACCAACACGACAAAGGGAGTGGAAGAAACAAAAATATTTTAATAAAAGTTCAAATTGTCTTAGTCCAAAAACAACTGAAGTAAAGGAACAGAGTGGGCTAGTCGGCTCCGGAGGAAGGAGAGGCTGAGGCAGGCAGGCAGGCAGGCAGGCAGGCAGGCAGGCAGACCGACAGGCAGGAAGGCAGGCAGGTTGGGAGGTATGTCCGAACTGAAGACAAAACAAACGACAGGTTAAGGAGAGTGGAGAGCCAGGCTGAAGACAAAGACAAAATAACTTTACTGGTGAGCCAAGTTACCGCTCTGGTAAGAACAACGATCTGGCGCCGGTGGAGAGCCATGCCCAGGAATAAGTAGTGCAGGTTGATGAGAGAATAGGATGCAGCTGCGTAGGCAGGAATCACTGGAAACAACCCGCAGCTGCACAGGAGAGGCAGATCCTGAGCACGCCCCCTGCTCCACTCCAGACACACCCACATAAAGGGGACAAACACACATACAACAGAAAAAGAGGGGACAAAACAAGGAGGAAGGGAAACAGAAAAGGGAGAGACAAGCTGCCCACATAACAATTGTGGAGGCCAGGTCATCTGATGCAGCACTCCATCACTCTCCTTCTTGGTAAAATAGCCCTTACACAGCCTGGAGGTGTGTTGGGTCATTGTCCTGTTGAAAAACAAATGATAGTCCCACCAAGCCCAAACCAGATGGGATGGCGTATTGCTGTAGAATGCTTTGGTAGTCATGCTGGTTAAGTGTGCCTTGAATTCTAAATAAATCACAGACAGTGTCACCAGCAAAGCACCCCCACACCATAACACCTCCTCCATGCTGTACGGTGGGAAATATACATGCGGAGATCATCCGTTCATCCACACCGCGTCTCACAAAGACATGGCGGTTGGAACCAAATTATGATTACATAAGAATCTAAATGTGACCATGGATGTGTTTCTCATTTTAAGGTTGAATGTTAAATTCAATTCATAAGATAGCCTTAACTTTAGGCTATTTACTGTATTACAAAAGTAATATTGTACTGTGTTTGGTTGGCAACGCAAACAAATATTAACATTTAAATGAGATGTATCTACTGCTTAGGTAGTTCCATCTGAGCAACTGGCTTAATCCATTCTTTAATTTCTATTTTGGGTTGAGTTGAACATGTGAATCCAACATGATTTGTTAACTTGTCAACAAGTTAATAAGCTATTTATTGTATTTTAAAAGTGATATTGAATTGTGTTTGGTTGTCAACGCAACCAAATATCAACATTTGAAGGAGATTTATCTTCTGCTTGGATAGTTCCATCTTTGCCGCTGTCTGGCTTTAATTCCAGTTTGTTTACAAATTAATTAAAACCAACCAAAAATCTAATTTAAAGAATAGAACTAAATCAAATGCACTTTAAATAAAGTTTGATTTGATTTAGTCCTATTCTTTAACTTAGATTTTTGGTTGAGATGGAGACGTGAATCCAACATATCAATTATTAATTTAAAGACAAACTGGAATTAAAGCCAGACTAATTCAGTGGCACAGATGGAACTATCCAAGCAGAATATATTCTCAATTTTTTGTTGAATTGAAACAACAGCTGTTGATGACTTTGCAAATGCTTTATACTGTTGTCCTAAATAGCGTAATTGATGATATATGAATGATAAAGTATGGTCACATTTAATTTGCTCTGTTAAACCTACACTTTGGAATGACTTTGATAGCATCAGTAAATCTATTTCGTTTCTAAGTGGAGATTGCTGAACAATCATTCTCACGATAGCACATTAGTAATAGTCAGTGATAAATATCATAGCTAAGCAGGGCTGGGCCTATCTAAAACCCTGCTGCCCAGCCTTTCGTATTTTTTTCTGATAGTGGAGCTAATGTTGTTTTAAAGGTACAAATTCAACATATTTTATACAAGGTTCGTCCATGTTGAAATTTGGCTACCATGATGACATAATCCTGTGGTTGAAATTTTACCCTAAAAACAACAGTTTATGTTGATGACTTTTTTCAAATCCAATGTATTTTCCACATAAATTCCACGTCACAATACGTTGACAAATTACATTGAAACAACATTGATTCAACCAGTTCGTTCCCAGTGGAAAGCGATGTATAAGATGCTTCAAATGAAAACCGAGATGACTGCATTAACATTTAAACAGCAGGCTATAGACCTATTTCAATCATATTGAAATACATTTAATGTTCAATCAATTGATTTCTATTTTGCTACTTGTAGGCTACTGTCTAATTTGTGTCAATATATTTGATGATATCAAATCAAATCAAATGTTATTTGTCACATGCGCCGAATACAACAGGTGTAGACCTTACAGTGAAGTGCTTACTTACAAGCCCTTAACCAACAATGCCGTTTTAAGAAAGAATACCAAAAAAAATCACACAAACAAATAAAATATAAAATAATACGAAATAAAAGTAACAAATAATTAAAGAGCAGCAGTAAAAATAACAATAGCGAGGCTATATACAGGGGGTACTAGTGCCGAGTCAATGTGCAGGGTCACTGGTTAGTCAAGGTAATTGATGTAATATGTACATGTAGGGAGAGTTATTAAAGTGACTATGCATAGATAATAAACAGAGAGTAGTAGCAGCGTAAATGCAAATAGTCTGGGTAGCCATTTGGATTAGATGTTCAGGAGTCTTATGGCTTGGGGGTAGAAGCTGTTTAGAAGCCTCTTGGACCTAGACTTGGCGCTCCGTTACCGCTTGCCGTGCGATAGCAGAGAGAACAGTCTATGACTAGGGTGGCTGGAGTCTTTGACAATTTTTAGGTCTTTCTTCTGACACTGCCTGGTATAGAGGTCCTGGATGGCAGGAAGCTTGGTCCCAGTGATGTACTGGGCCGTACGCACTACCCTCTGTAGTGCCTTGCGGTCGGAGGCCGAGCAGTTGCCATACCAGGCAGTGATGCAACCAGTCAGGATGCTCTCGATGGTGCAGCTGTAGAACCTTTTGAAGATCTGAGGACCCATGCCAAATCTTTTCAGTCTACTTAGGGGGAATAGGTTTTGTCGTGCCCTCTTCACGACTGTCTTGGTGTGCTTGGACCATGTTAGTTTGTTGGTGATGTGGACACCAAGGAACTTGAAGCTCTCAACCTGCTCCACTACAGCCCCGTTGATAAGAATGGGGGTGTGCTCGGTCCTCTTCTTTTTCCTGTTGTCCACAATCATCTCCTTTGTCTTGATCACGTTGAGGGAGAGGTTGTTGTCCTGGCACTACACGGCCAGGTCTCTGACCTCCTCCCTATAGGCTGTCTCGTCGTTGTCGGTGATCAGGCCTACCACTGTTGTGTCATCAGCAAACTTAATCGCTATAGGGAAACCGGGCCCAGGTCAAATAAGTTGGGAATACTGAGCTTCTTCACAGCAGTGGCCATCTCATTTGAATAAAGGACTTTTTTTTTAAAGAAACACTGCCCAGTCCATGTGTTTTACCATACTTTGTCAGAGGAGAAATACAATTCTGTGTTTGACTGTAGAATGTGAGTATAATCCATACTTATGGATCTAAATGTAACCTTGCCGGGTAATGGCAAGGTGAAGCATTTCCAATATTGAACTGAACAATGGAGACTTGGACGCAGCATAGCCCTCCACTAGTTCTCTCCTTTCACTCTCCACTCACTAGGGGAGCTATGGGATGTGGCTCAGCAGTCTGCAACGAGACATGAGATAGACACAGTGGAAGGATACTCAGCTGTCACACCCTCAACCTGGGTGACTACCAATGTTCTGGAGGCTATGGCTATTCAGTAAGCCATTGAATATACATTATTTAAGGGGCCATTGTGTATGGAAGCCCGTTCACACCACCCCTAAAAATATGAGATAGTAAAGCCATTATTATGAGATAGTAAGTCATAATTATGAGATCGTAAGTCTGGATCATGGACATTGAATAGTCCTGCAGGTTAACCCCTTTTAGAGGGGCAATCTGGGATTCAAACATTAACAAAGTGTTTTCCCCGCCACTTTATTTGATAAACAGCTGAGGAATGGGGCAGGAGAAATGTAACCACTCTCAAATACATAGTTGGAAGGACTCTCACATGGATGCAAGATCTGACCATCCATGAGATAAAAATGATAGTTTTAACCATGTTTTGAAGCTATACAGTGTTTGTTTACAATTACATTGTCTACAAACAATGGAGTAAAACAGACTTTTATTTTGGGGTTCTGATGGGGTCAGACAGTTGCTCATGAGGCATTTCTAAGTTACATTCTTCAAGAATCAATGGCTATATATGAATAATTAAAAAGTCCCAAAATGGATGTTCCAGTCCCAGATTGCCCTTTAATGGATTTAATTGAATTAATTACATCTGATGTCAGCCAGATGTCATCAAACAGGCACCAACTCGCATCAACAAAACTCTCCAATCCATTAATAGAGAACAATATCAACACAAACTCTCTCCCATCTCTCTCTCACACACACCCACACACGCACACACAAACAAACAAACACACACACACACACACACACGTGATTCATGTGATACAGATCGCCTAAACATATCTCATAATAATGACTTACTATCTAATAATAATGATTTTACTATCTCATAACTCGTAGTCAGCCTTTATTGTTTAGGTGGCGGGAACGAGCTTCCATAATAGTGTGTTTGACCCAGAGAACAGTGCAATGGGAAGGTTAAGGTTCTCATGAGAGTTTATTCTATGCCTATTGATTATGATACTTTTTATTTAAAAACTTTTTTATAGGGAATAGTTATATAACAGGTCTATCTATTTGGTGATCATGTTACATTATGCACTTACATTAATTTGAGGGGAAAAAATGTAAAGCCAAAGGCCTATCTGTCTATGGGTGTGGTATAGACAGGTCAGGTGATGTATTTGGGCAGGGCTAGAACAGCACAGCACCGGTCAGACCAACACCAGCACTGCACGTGATCAATAGCAATAACCTACTTTGTACTGAGACCACAGCCATTTACAGTGTTGCCTCGACTTGCATTTTTTTCTCCTGAAGAAACATTTGCACAGACCTGCAATATTTCCCGAGGTCTACAGCTACACAGACGCTTTGAGGAGGCTGCACGTGCCCTTGACTACTGAGGAAGACTAGCATTAGTAAGCTAATTAGAGAGCAACATGTGACAGTCAGAAAAGGACTGATTGCAATGATGTTTCTGATGACATCGAGAAGAGTGTGTCCATAGTAACCGATACCTGCTGCAACAGAGGCAAACAAACGATCGCCTTTGCTTCAGTGCCAAGCTCAAAACATGACAGGAATGCAACCCGTTTGTGCTGCATGAGGACCTGGAAAACTGCACAACCTTCGATTCTATTTGAGCCTGGCTAATATGTATCGACGAATGTATCCATCCATGGCCTGCGGAAGAAGAATCGCTAAGGATTTAGCAAGCTACATTGTAGCAGGACGTTATGTCAGCGCTTGAAACAGCGCATGGGGGTTTAGGAACGATTTAACTTCAGAACACCTACCTCGTGTGCTCTTTTCCTAAACATAGCCTGATAAGAAATGGTCAATTAAACCAGCCACAATACAGAGAGCCTTGCAAATATCGGATATTGTAAATAGCTTATTGACTTTTAAATGTAATCTAACAGCCTACCGACGTTGGATAATTGTATGCCTAAAATCCATGTCCATCTCAGCTGGGCACAAACCTTGAATGTAATGTAGACAAACATTTACCAAAATGCTACCAGGTTCTATTCAAATAACGGGAGAAGCACTGTCGGGAGCTGAGATCAAGGATATTTGTGAAAGCCTGAAAGATAACAGTGTGAGGCTTCTGTCTATCAGGGGATGTCAGCTTTCTGACCGAGACTTCGGACGGGTGTGTCGCGGTGTGACGGAGTCCCACTCACTGACGCAACTCAACCTAAACCTCGGTGTGGTCTCGACCATCAACCGAACCAAGCATCTCGCCGATGCACTCAAGACCAACAGGTCGATCCAGACCCTTTTGTAAGTAGTAGATCACAATTAATAAGTTGTCTGTTTGATTGAATGATTTATTGGTCTCAGTTGTTGATAATGATATGGCTACTGTCGTCTATTCACTCATTGTAATCAGCATGGGTCCCTCAATTTGGGATCCAGTAAAAGCTGTTGCATGTTGTCGCCATGGCATCACATGTGGGACCTGACCCTAATTACCATGAGGATGAGCATGAACTCATGTCAGGCTGTGTGTGTAAACATGAGTGAATTAATTGGATGGTCTTCACTGGAACTTTTGTATTGAATGATATTCCACATTTCTCTCATTCTCTCCTCCCATCTCTCATATGCCACAGTCTCCATGGAAGCCCCCTCCTCGATGCAGGATTGGTCACACTTAACACTGCTCTTTCCACTCACCCTTTACTGGTGTCTCTGGACCTGGGGGACTGTATGCTGGGGGACGAGGCACTGCGGCTAATCTGTGGCATGCTGCCTCCGGATGGGGCCAAATCAGGTAGAGGCACGCAACACTGCCCTCATTTATACTGAGGTATCGGACTCTGAACCTGCGTGCCGACTGAGGGGCTGGAAACAATAGGCTAGAGTAGAGGTTCCTCTCTTGTTAGTGTGTGTAGGGAAAATGGAAGCAGAAAGTGAAACACATATTTTAGTATAGAAAATACAGTCCAGACAAATTGCAACTTGTATAGGCTTTATAGAGCATTCATCAAGTTGTTGTTAACACTACATAGCTCCGTCACAATATTTTTTCCATCCTTTATGTAGCATGACGTGCTTATGAGTGATTTCTGAAGCATCTTTTATAGGCCCTATAAAGGGCTTTATGAAGGCATTATGTTTACAATTAGACTCATTTTACATGCTAATATAGTAAAACATACACTGTGTATAGTCAGAGCCTTTAATATATGGTTATATTCGACTCTGGCTATAGTTAGTTGGTCATTTGATGGTGATAGACTGCCTGTCCCACAGGTCTTAGGGAGCTGACTCTGAGTGCAAACCCCAGCATCACCACAAAGGGCTGGGCCCGCTTGGCCATCGCTGTGGCCCATAGCTCCCAGCTCCGAGTCCTCAACCTGGACTACAACCCCCTGGGTAAGAACCAATCACCAGGACACAAAACCAATTACTGTACTTTATATCAGTGAATTTCTTTATATGGAATCTGCTTGTATGGAATCAGGTTCTTATTAACATTTTAAAGGAATATTACACTCAACCACAAGTGTTGCCATAAAAATACTTAATCAATATGAACTACTGTGAACTTCAAGTCTTGGAACAACATTAATGTGTTATCATGTGTAATGGGCCCATTTCAGAGGTGACGCAATCTTGAGTTACCTATGATGTCCACTTTATGGGCCAGTTGCCTCCCGCATTACCCAATAATATTTTTTATCTCCATGACAACGACCTGGCTGCTTGCACTAGAGAGAAAGAGAAATAGGAAAAGAGGTCATCTGAAGAACATAATGTCCCAAGTTATGTTAAAATTACATTTTAGAGGGCATAGGCCTGCTTGATACTCAATTATAGGGCTATGGTCATTTTGGGGCAAGTATACAGGGTAAAACATTTGGGTTCCATTTCATCCACCTGAATTATGGGGATCAATGACACTTCTAATGACTGGCACATGCATGTGCCTTTATCATACTGTAGCAAATTCTGGGAGTAGCCCAGACCAGGACTCGAACCCGGGTTCAGTAACTGTCAACCCAACACCTTAGCTGTTACGCCAAGAGATCCGAATCCCTTGACGAGGTCACTAGGTGTTGGCTTAAGGTGGTTACACTATACCAAGTCCCTCATTTGAACTGCCCCTCCAATGGCCTCACGGGCGCCATCCCACTTCTGACACCAATGTATCGAACACCGTGGTTAGCCCCAACTGGGACTTGAACCCGGGTCCAGCTGTTACGACAAGAGATCCAATCCCCTTGATGAGGTCGCTAGGTGTTGGGTTAAGGTCACTACAATACTTATACTGTTGAAAAGATGTGCATACGCCTGATGAAGGTGAAAGCCGAAATGTACACTCAGTGGCCAGTTTATAAGGTACGCCCATCTAGTACTGGGTCGCATCCCCCTGTAGCCATGAAGGGATGCACCTGGTCAGCAACAATGTTCAGATACGCTGTGGCATTCAAATGTTGCTCAATTGGTATCAAGGGACCTAACGTGTGCCAGGAAAACATTCTCCACACCATTAAACTACTGCCACCAGCCTATACTGTTGACACCAGGCAGGATGGGGCCATGGACTCATGCTGCTTAAGCCAAATCCTGACTCTGCCATCAGCATGACGCAACAGGAACCGGGATTCGTCGGACCAGGCAATGTTTTTCCACTCCTCAATTGTCCAGTGTTGGTGATCGCGTGCCTGCTGGAGCCACTTCTTCTGGTTTTTAGCTGATAGGAGTGGAACCCGGTGTGGTCGTCTGCTGCAATAGCCCATCCGTGACAAGGACCGACGAGTTGTGCGTTCCGAGATGCCGTTCTACACACCACTGTAGTACTGCACCATTATTTGCCTGTTTGTAGCCCTCCTGTTAGCTTGCACGATTCTTGCCATTCTCATTCGACCTCGCTCATCAACAAGCTGTTTTCGCCAACAGGACTGCCGCTGACTAGATGTTTTCTTCTTTGTCACACCATTCTCTGTAAAGCCTAGACACGGTCATGCGTGAAAGCCCAGGAGGCAGGCCATTTCTGAGATACTGGAACTAGCGCGTCTGGCACCCACTGTCATACCATGCTAAAAGTTGCTTAGGTCACTCGTTTTGCTCATTCTAACATTCTATCGAACAGTAACTGGATGCCTGTTTGCCTGCTTTATATAGCAAGCCATGGCCACATGACCTACTGTCTGTAGGAGCCAGCCATTTTCATGAACGGGGTGGTGTACCTAATTAACTGTATATCAGCTTTATGCTGTTGGAATAAATTAACTATTTATGCAAATACTAACCTGTGTGTGGTCAAAATCTGTTGTTCTGGGTCAATGGCACCAATCACATCAATCAGCTTTCTGTAATGCTCAGATGACAAACTCACCTTCTGAACTCACTCATGTTTTGGTTGTGTTGGGATTCCAGGGGACCAGATTGCTGGTATGCTAGCAGTGGCTGTGGCATCCAGCAGAACTCTGGAGGTGTTGGATCTGGAGGGAACAGGACTCACAAACCAGTCAGCCCAGGTCTGTAGCGTCACCAACATCACCACTAGAGCATAGTCATCTGCACCACTGAGTGTGTGGAAAAAGCATTACAAAGAAAGTGAGAAGAAATCTGATGTATACTGAACAAAAATATAGAACGCAACATGTAAAGTGTTGGGTTCATGAGCTGAAATGAAAACGTATTTCTCTCAAATTTTGTGCACAAATGTATTTAAGTTGCTGTTAGTGATCATTTCTCCTTTGCCAAGATAATCCATCCACCTGACAGGTGTGCCATATCAAGAAGCTGATTAAACAGCATGATCATTACACAGGTGCTCCTTGTGCTGGGGACAATGAAAGGCCACTCTAAAATGTGCAGTTTTGTCACACAACACAATGCTACAGATGTCTGGATGCAGGAATGTCCACCAGAGCTATTGCCAGATAATTTAATGTTAATTTCTCTACCATAAGCCACCTCCAACATCATTTTAGAGAATTTGGCAGTACGTCCAACCTGCCTCACAACCGCAGACCACGTGTAACCATGCCAGCCCAGGACCTCCACATCCGGCTTCTTCACCTGCGGGATGGTCGGAGACCAGCCAGCCGGGACAGCTGATGAAACTGAGGAGTATTTCTATCTGTAATGTTTGGAAAAACTCATTCTGATTGGCTGGGCCTGGCTCCCCAGTGGGTGGGCCTATGCCCTCCCAGGCCCACCCATGGCTGCTCCCCTGCCCAGTCATGTAAAATCCATAGATTAGCCTAATTAATTTATTTCAATTGACTGATTTCCTTATATGAACTGTAACTAAAATAAAATAGTTGCGCTTATTTTTGTTCAGTATAGCCCAAATAAAGGCTTCACAGAGTTCAAGTCGCAGACACATCTCAACATCCACTGTTCAGAGGGGACTGTGTGAATCAGGCCTTCATGGTCGAATTGCTGCAAAGAAACCACTACTAAAGGACACCAATAATAAGAAGAGACCTGCTTGGGCCAAGAAACACGAGCAATTGACATTAGACCAGTGGAAATGTGTCCTTTGGTCTGGTCCAAATTTGAGATTTTTGGTTCCAACCGCTGTGTCTTTGTGAGACGCGGTGTGGGTGAATGGATGATCTCCGCATGTGTAGTTCCAGCATGGAGGAGGAGGTGTTATGGTGTGGGGGTGCTTTGCTGGTGACACTGTCTGTGATTTATTTAGAATTCAAGGCTCACTTAACCAGCATGGCTACCACAGCATTCTGCAGCGATGTGCCATCCTTCCATCTGATTTGGGCTTAGTGGGACTATCATTTGTTTTTCAACAGGACAATGACCCAACACACCTCCAGGCTGTGTAAGGGCTATTTTACCAAGAAGGAGAGTGATGGAGTGCTGCATCAGATGACCTGGCCTCCACAATCCCCCGACCTCAACCCAATTGAGATGGTTTGGGATGAGTCGGACGGCAGAGTGAAGGAAAAGCAGCCAACAAGTGCTCAGCATATGTGGGAACTCCTTCAAGACTGTTGGAAAAGCATTCCAGGTGAAGCTGGTTGAGAGGATGCCAAGCGTGTGCAAAGCTGTCATCAAGGCAAAGGGTGGCTATTTGAAGAATCTCAAATATAAACGCTCATTCCTTCGACGATAAACACGAATCCGACCATCACCCCTGGTGAAACAAAACCGCGACTCGTCAGTGAAGAGCACTTTTTGCTAGTCCTGTCTGGTCCAGCGACAGTGGGTTTGTGCCCATAGGCAACGTTGTTGCCGGTGATGTCTGGTGAGGACCTGCCTTACAACAGGCCTACAAGCCCTCAGTCCAGCCTCTCTCAGCCTATTGTGGACAGTCTGAGCACTGATGGAGGGATTGTGTGTTCCTGGTGTTACTCGGGCAGTTGTTGTTGCCATCCTGTACTTGTCCCGCAGGTGTGATGTTCGGATGTACCGATCCTGTGCAGGTGTTGTTACACGTGGTCTGCCACTGCAAGGATGATCAGCTGTCCGTCCTGTCTCCCTGTAGCGCTGTCTTAGGCGTCTCACAGTACTGACATTGCAATTTATTGCCCTGGCCACATCTGCAGTCCTCATGCCTCCTTGCAGCATGCCTAAGGCACGTTCACGCAGATGAGCAGGGACCCTGGGCATCTTTCTTTTGATGTTTTTCAGTGTCAGTAGAAAGGCCTCTTTAGTGTCCTAAGTTTTCATAACTGTGACCTTAATTGCCTACCGTCTGTAAGCTGTTAGTGTCTTAACGACCGTTCCACAGGTGCATGTTCATTAATTGTTTATGGTTCATTGAACAAGCATGGGAAACAGTGTTTAAAGCCTTTTACAATGAAGATCTGTGAAGTTATTTGGATTTCTACGAATTATCTTTGAAAGACAGGGTCCTGAAAAAGGGACATTTTCTTTTTTTGCTGATTTTATATACTACCGTTCAAAAGTTTGGGGTCACTTAGAAATGTCCTTGTTTTCGAAAGAAAAGCAATTTTTTTGTCCATTAAAATAACATCTAATTGATCAGAAATACAGTGTAGACATTAATGTTGTAAATGGCTATTGTAGCTGGAAACGGCTGATTTTTAATGGAATATCTACATATGCGTACAGAGGTCCATTATCAGCAACTGCGTTCCAATGGCACGTTGTGTTTGCTAATCCAAGTTTATCATTTTAAAAGGCTAATTGATCATTAGAAAACCCTTTTGCAATTATGTTAGCACAGCTGAAAACTGTTGCGCTGATTTAAAGAAGCAATAAAACTGGCCTTCTTGAGACTAGTTGAGTATCTGGAGCATCAGCAATTGTGGGTTCGATTACAGGCTCAAAATGGCGAGAAACAAATAACTTTCTTCTGAAACTCGTCAGTCTATTCTTGTTCTGAGAAATGAAGGCTATTCCATGCGAGAAATTGCCAAGAAACTGAAGATCTCGTACAACCTGGTGTGGTCGTTTAAAACTTCCATGCCTCTTCTCAAATGTGGTGGCCATTTTTACTAATGCCAATCATCAATTGAAAAAGTATAAATAAGCTAATTAACTTTCATTTATTTTCATTAATGTTATGGAGGTAGCTTTTCACCTCCCCTCTTATGGTTTCATGACATTTAATTACCTTTAATGTGAATGTGAACATTTTGTTCTTTTGCAATCCCACCTATTCTGTTGATAGTAAATTTGATTCTGTAGTTATATCCACTAGGTGGGGCTGCTGCATATCAAATCGCCCAATTTAACGGTCATCATAGCAAAGCCCTGTTCCTCTCATGGTCTAATTTCAAAGTCAGTCCGCTTTCGTAGGAGATGAAAAAGGGGCTTTCATGTGCATGCAGATGAGTGTGGAACAACAGGGGTGGGAGTGCTGAACAGAGCCTTGGGCTAGCATACCAAAGTCACCGTCTGGTGGCTGCGAGGCCTCCTCAGTCTTTGATCAAAGTAAACTTCATCTAGACAGGCAGCTCCTTCTTAGTCTCCCTCCCACACCCTCACTGGTATTGACCCATAACCCTGAATCTAATTTGCTGTGAAGATGTGCTTACCACACTCCGATACTCTTCTCTCACAAAACACTTCGCCAGCTGTGGCCTGTTCACTGGCAAGTGCAAATGAGAAGTGCTCAAGGCTTATGGACAACTTATCAATTTCAACAGACTTTCAATAAATTGTCTAGCTACTATGTCTCTCTCCAGTCTAAAGCTAGCTGATTTATAAAGAGACTAGCCTTGACATGTACTTCACACTAAGAAAAAACGTCACTGCTTTTGAGACGGATACTATGAATCTGAACAACTATCTGAGCAAACAAATAAATACACATTTTGACATTGAAGTGACTTGTTACGTGCCGAAGTAATTCAAGACGAACAAACCACATATACTGGACAAAAATATAAACGCAACAATTTCAAAGATTTTACTGAGTTACAGTTCATATAAGGAAATCTATGGATTTCACATGGCTGGGAATACAGATATGCATCTGTTAGTCACAGATACCTTAAAGTAAGGGGCATGGATCAGAAAATCAGTCAGTATCTGGTGTGACCACCATTTGCCTCATGCAGCCCGACACATCTCTCACATAGAGTTGATCAGGCTGTTGATTGTGCGAAGTTGCTGGATATTGGCGGGAACTGGAACACGCTGTCATACATGTCGATCCAGAGCATCCCAAACATGCTCAATGGGTGACGTCTGGTGAGTATGATGGCCATGGAAGAACTGGGACCTTTTCAGCTTCCAGGAATGGTGTGCAGATCCTTGCGACACGGGGCTGTGCATGATCATGCTGAAACATAAGGTGATGGCGGTGGATGAATGGCACAACAATGGGCCTCAGGATCTCGTCACGGTATCTCTGCATTCAAATTGCCAACAATAAAATGCAATTGTGTTCGTTGTCCGTAGCTTATGCCTTCCAATACCATAACCCCACCGCTCAGCAAACCGCTCGCCCACACGACGCCATACACATGGTCTGCGGTTGCAAGGCCGGTTGGACGTACTGCCAAATTCTCTAAAACGATGTTGGAGGTGGCTTATGGTAGAGAAATGAACAATCAGTTCTTTGGCAACAGCTCTGGTGATGTTTCTGCAGTCAGCATGCCAATTGCACGCTCCCTCAATTTGAGACATCTGTGGCATTGTGTTGTGTGACAAAACTGCACATTTTAGAGTGGCCGTTTGTCCCCAGCACAAGGTGCACCTGTGTAATGATCATGCTGTTTAATCAGCTTCTTGATATGCCACGCCTGTCAGGTGGATGGATTATCTTTGCAAAGGAGAAATGCTCACTAATAGGGATGTAAACAAATTTGTGCACAAGATTTGAGAGAAATAAGCTTCTTTGGGATCTTTTATTTCAGCAAATGAAAATTGGGACTAACACTTTACATGTTGCATTTATATTTTTGGTTAGTGTAAATGTAAGTTCACAACCTCGAATAAAAATGCCCACTGGCATGCAGAACTCTACCTACAAAGTCCTCTTATCAACCCCTACTGTAGCCTATCGGTGCTCCATGACAGAGTCTCCCTCCCCTGTGCCCTCAGGTCTTCCTGGACATGGTGGAGAACTACCCCACCTGTCTGCGCGTGCTGGTCCTGGCAGAGAACGCCATCAACCCCGAGCTGCAGCAGCAGATCTCAGACCTGCTCTCCGAGGGAGAAGAGGAGGACGACAAAGAGGGCGAGGCACGAGGCAGCGCTGCCATCCCCACCAGGGAGAAAACCACCTGGGTCCCCCACAGCAGTAAGGGCTGACCTGGCCAACCAAAACACTCTCCTTCCCTGTCCCTTCTTAGTCATAGTCTAGACAGGACAGTTCCACTGGGGTGTTCTGTTCTGGAGTCTTGCAGATTGAAAATAAATCGTTTTGTATAATTAGCTGCTATAAACCTGAAACATCTGTAAAAGTGATGACCTAAAATAAATAACTCTCTACAAACTAACTAACCAGTTTGCTTAAGAATGAGGCCTGTTCCCATTTCCGGAGTGCTTTAGAGTAGACTGGTAGTCAGATCTGTTTGTGCTTTGGCCAACTTGTTTGTTGTCTTTCCGTACAAGGCTAAAGTACCCTACAGATGTGGCGACCAGGCTAGCTGTGGAGTTATAGAAGTCCTAAACCCGTTTCCGTTGTCTCTGCCCCTTGCAGACTCCCACCCCCAGATGGTCCTGCTGACGTCAGGTCTAGGTGAGAGCCTACTGGCTGAGACTGAGATGTGATTCCACAGCCTTCCTAACTTTTTGGTTTTTACCTCTTTTCTTTTTGCTAGTCTGCACATAATTGAGTTTCCAAGATCACCTAGTAGCGTGCAACCAATTACACTTTTTGCATGATCTGTTGCACTTTTACATAACAGAATACGTTTTGGAGCAGGCACAAAACCCTTAACACACACACACACCAAGTGACTTATAGGCAATAGTGAATTATTTATTTTAAACATGCACAGTCTATTTATAGTTCCTATTTAAAGGTTATGTAACCAATACAAGTCTGTATGCTCTGATATGATGGATCGACTATCTAGGATTGTTGTGATGGTCTGATGTCAGAATAAATCTGTTTACATCTTCTTAAAAATGTTTGGATTCTAGTGTTTCCTGATTGGAATAGCCTACTTATTCATGCAAAAAACTAATTGGCAATTATTGTATAATACTGAACAACAGCTCACTGAAAACTGTTTTCCTTTGACCTTAATGTCCTTTTCTCTCCACTAAATGCGATACTAATACCTCATATGAACATTATTTTGAAATTGTAGTAATAGCCACAGGATGTTTCTGTGGTCAGCACTTAAATGTCACATACAACATTATCTGAATTGAATGTAACGAGCATGTGGTAATTCAGCATCATCACACCATGACAATGCAGCAGTGTTATGTTTCATCATTCATCACCGATCACCCTGTATACAGTGAGCCCTACCCCCACAACCCCCAGTCAAAGCTGATAAAGTGGTGCTTACTATGAAGGAAAGACATCATCCCCATCAAATCCCCTTGTTTGAGCCTTTGTGCCTAAATGCATTTCTAACTGGTCGATATCTCCATGTTTATGACATTCTATTGAGAATTTTTACGAACCTTGACATCAATACATTTTAACACCTCTCTCCAGTGTGCTTAGGGATGTTATGGACAGAGTACTAACCTCAACATTATCCATATTATTATGACATTCTATAGAAGATTCTTTCTAACCTTGTCTTAACGCCTCTGTTTTCTTTGTGATGTTGTGGATTGAGGGTACAACACGCCAACGTTAAGGCACAAAGACTTCGAAGATACAGAATCTTTGCATGACAAGTCACTGAAGAAAAATAGAGCAGGAATTACAGGCCATTAATTGCAATTCACATTCCAGACCAGCACATTCTCATGTACTGTAAGCATAAACCAATCACCCTCTTACAATTCACATTCAGTTTCGTTGGTAATCAGTTCCCAAGGAGACCATAATATCTTATCTATCACTGATCTACTGAGTAATCCAGTGAGGTAGGTTTCTGATGTTGGGGAGCATAAATGAAAACAGACATCATTTAGGGACTGTTACCCCCTTTCAGTTCTCCATTCCCATAGGACAGCTAAATAATGAGTGGAACTAGAGATGGATATTGCGATCAATCTCCCGAGTTGCTAAGTGACAGGGACAAACAGAAGCCTGTTTTTCAGTGTATCACCGTCTCCTACCTCTAATGTAGCTACTCCTGTTACACTTGAACCCCTTGCTGGATATATGCTATGAGGGCCCAACACCTGGTGGCATGATAAAATAGTTATTTGGGCACAGTCATTTGTTTCAATGTTGATTATTATATTAATGTTAATTATCATATCATTGTGACGGCAACTGTAAGTAAGCTACTTGCACACTTATTTTTCATAAGCAGATTGCTGACCCTGTTGCAGTTATCATTGGATGCCACACAAGAAGGAGGAGGAGAATGGAATGCCCACAGGGCGGCAGGCTAGTTCACTGCTGGACCATGCCAAACAAGAACGCTGCATTGCTGGCAATGCTAACATCTTGTCTGCTATGCAATCGGATGCCTCGGTGACGTGGAGAATCTCCTCTCTAATACCGGCATCTAATTCAATTAGGGTTCCTTTTTAATCACAGTCCCCTTTCTCTCTCAGGCAATGAAGGCATAATTTCAGCCATGGAAATCTAATTTGAGCTGCAACAAGATCCTTCGAATGAGCTCTAATCTCCTAGGTGTTACTATTCTGTGAACATTTTGGAGGGTGTGATATTGAAAAGCAGGAATTGTGCATACCTCATATACAAGGTAATGGAAAAGTACTTTCATGTAGTGCAATTTTTTAAATGATTGTCAATTTAGGCAAGTGTCCACCAAATATTACATTAAATCATTCACAAATGTAGAACAGGAGGGTAAAGTAGTTAGGCTTTTCTGTTTGTATTCAGATCAGTTAATCATTGGAGGGGAAAACAACCTCCAGCTGGACTAACACTTTGAAAGTGATCCTTAACTGCAAGTCCAGGATGACAGTCATTATCAGTAGAGGGAACCCTTAGGTAAGAGTTACTGTTCTAATCTTCCAAGGGAAATGTGGCAGGTCATATCCTGGCTGAATGTTAAGGGAGGCTGAACTTTCCAATTTGGCCTCGTTTTTCGGCTTGTTCATTAAGAAATGCAGCAGCCTTGACTGAAGCCAAACGAGAATTGTCTTTGGGGGGCAAAGTTGGTTTGACATTAAATAGCCTCTCTCTGGGCCTAGTTAGGGACCGACAATAAATTACACAATGTAAATGGGACACTTTTCATGTTGCACATCTTTAAGTTGTCTCATTACTTTTAATATTAGTATATGAATTTCTACAATTGATAGTTGGTTTGAGGTTTTTAAGTCATTGAAGTTTGGAGCTGTAGATGGGTTGGTCGTTTAGCAACAAAACCAACGCGTGTGCAACTATGGAGCGTAACAGATAGGGTTGGCTTAAACGATACTTAGTCTCCAATGTTTATTGAAAACAAAAACATTTGCCCAATGAGCACTTGTTTCACAAATACAATGTTACAGTTGTTGGTTAGCTAGCTAGCAAATGTTAACCATATTAGCATAGATGTGACATCAATCAAAACACCTCAAAACGAGACATGGTATCAAGAATAAAACTAGCTGAAAGGAGCCACCTACGATTCCCCACATGGCAGCTTCTTGACATTGTTGACTTCTGCCCCATTGAAGCGTGCGCATCGTTTGTGACGTTGTCAACTAACCAGTCTATAGACATTGTAAAGTATTGTCCCATGTACATTGTGCAATTTACTGATGGTCCCTAACTAGCCCCATAGGGATATCAAATGTCAAACCAAATTGGATCGCGTGCAGCTGCACTCTGAATTGATGATTACTTGGGTGCTGCCAGCTTTGAGCATGGATTGAAATCAACCCAACCCAAGGAAAACTGTTACGGTACCCTTCATTCAATGACGTACCATTTTTTCCTAGTATAGAACAAGAAGGCCCGCACACTGTTAAAGCTCCCAATTCACCTCTTTATTGACAACGTTTCGTACCATTTTTTCCAATCATCTCGCAAATCTCAGTTTTGGATGAGACTGCCTTTATGACCAAGATGATCCTATTTACTCTTAGTCAATTTTGTCACTAGAATAAATGTTTCTGACTCATATCGATGCCATATAGGCCGTTTTCAAAACAATATATAAGTTGCATTTTAGGGGCAGTCGCTCTTTAAAGAAACAAACCAAGTAAAAATGTTGAGGTAACATTGCTTAAATTAACATAAACATGGCTACATCCCTCGTACATAACCAGACCACAAAAATTAAGTTTAAAATATTGTATTTATTTTAAAATATACATCAGTTAAATTCAGAGAAAAAGAGTTCCGTTTTAACAGTCTTCTGTATAATTTTGTATTTTTGAAGTAATTTTTTTACAGAGAAAAAAAGAATGCACATGACAACTACATGACTATGGAAGCTTACGCTTACACACAAATGAAAGGAAATCTAGAAAAGCTATGAATGAACAGACACTGCATCAGGAGAGTGATGAATATGCAACCAAATAAAACATAACGGAGCACACTTTTCTCAGGATGAGAGAATAATCTGATTGCCACTTAACTCCATGCAATACTGGTAGACAGGGATTGTGTGAATGAACCTAGCAACATAACTGGCTTCAGGGTCAGGGTGAGTCAATAGCCTGGACTTGGGACTAACAGCCTCCTCATAATGGCAAACATCAGGTACCACAGACTGCAGTGTGTCCCCTAGAATCAAATTTCCAAATTATAGGTATAACAGTATTAATCCCCACTAAGCACAATCACACTAACACTGGAGACATCATTTCATATACTTTAAAATTGCACCTGCAGCCAAATAAAAGTGCTGAATTAGGCATGTGTATTTGAGAGTATATAACATGGGATAATTCAACAACTGAACACCATAAAAGGATGCATACATTGATGTGACAAGACAGTGACAGCATCTATATTAGTATTCCTGAACCATCTCATTGCAATAACACCGCCCTTGGGCAGGGACTGGCTGTCACCTGGCAGAAATGCATGCTGAGACACAGCACAAATGCAACTCCAAGCTCAGAATGTATGATTACTCCGCCTGTGTGGGATATTACACTATAAAACCTGCCTCTGTATTCATATATAGAGCCAGGGTTTTCTAATTGCATAATGTCATAATTTACACTCCAGTTAGTCAAATATCAATATTTCCAATAAATCCCTGGCACTGTGTAAATACTGTATTGGAGACAAGGCTCCTATGAACAACTGTGACTGGCTGTTTAAGTCACGCTCAGACTAAAACCTACACATTAAAAGTAACTGAGCTACCTGTTAAAGGTCACCGTCACAGAGGGATTATCATCATGCCCAGTGTGTTTATTCCACCGCATCAGATAAAAGGAGTGATGAAGCTGACATTTTTCAACATTTCAGACTAAATTTGAAAAGCTCCACATGAGTGGAGCATCCTGGGAAGGTGACCTTGGATCAAAGAAGCGATGTGTCGGGCGGAGATTATATTCTTGAAAGAGGAGTCATTAAAGTTGCAGGAGACCAGATGTAAAGGCCTATTTATAATGCTAAGTAATTTTATCCTATTTTTTTGCCCATTTCGATTTTTGTATTTGCACAAAACCTTGTCTACAGTACATCTGATGAGCCCATTAAATATTTAAAATGTACATTTCCAGTTTCAAGACCATGACAGACTACCATTCCTCCTTTCTCTTTTTGAAGTATTAGAGACCTATTTCTGAGTGTAATAAAACATGAATAATTTAGCCAAGGGTTGTTACAACTCTATTAATTATGGTCTATTAACAGCACATCTAGACATAATGGAAAGACCAATAAGCAGACTGTAAGCAAAATAAAATCGGTTTAAAAAAAGTGTGAGGCTGTAAAAGGGTGGAGTGACGTCCTCAGTCCCACGTCCCGGCCCGTCACACAAGAAAATGGAGTTGAATTATTCAGGGTCCAGGAGTGCAGCAGAAAGCCTCCAACATGGATACAGTATGTGGAGAGCCTTTTATACCGAGATATGGTGACTCATCTCTCTCAGGAGGGAATACACTTCTCAAATATGACCCCAGTAACTGGCTGTGGCACAGTACTTAATGGAACAATGTTTCCAGTTCCTTGATATGTGTCTTGTACTTGTTGTTCTAAGAATAGAGATTTTAATAGGGGGGACTGAAACCCACATCTACATGTACAGGGACATCAAGGAGGAATCTTTTTCCCGGTGGTTTCTGTGTTCCAGCATGCACTGTCTGGCAATGGACTTGAAATGATATTACACAGTCATCAGCCCATAGAGGGTGGCATGAACAAATAATACCAGAGGGATTCGAATCTGACTGACACCATGTGGACACGAGCATGTCTGAGGGTTGAGAACACTGCATGAGGCGTGCGACTTTATCCTGGATTACTGCCTTATAACGAAAGCAACTGCAGAGCTCCCACTATGAGCAGTCAATCTAGGATCAATAAAACAGTAGGACTGTATCAGAGACTTCATAACCACACAATCAAAGAGCTGTTAGAAAGGCCAACAAAAATAAATCACTTATTTTCATTAGTAAATCATCCTTATTATGTACTAACGCTACATAGTGGAGTGTCTGATGCTGAACAAATGTAATTACAATTAACACATCAAATCAATATGGCTGAATACAGAACGCTAAGTCAATTGAATATAATGGACCAAATGAAAAATCCAAAAGGTACACACAAAATCAAAAATCAATCCATAAAATCACAAAAATAATAATCTCTTGATGAATGAATAAATATTCCCTATCCATATAAAAGCATGTGGATGAAAAAAAGGATCTACAGTGAAAATAAACGCTACATACTGCAAGCCATGATTACATTCCCTATTAGGTGTTATAATTATTAAGGTCCAAATATTAAAACAACTTTGGATTTTGTCAATTGATCTGAACTCTCTAGACCAGAACATTTAGGAGTGAGGACATCTGATAAGCAAACTGATGAAATACAAGGTTGGCTGTACACAGAGGAAAATATATCAAATCCTTCTCCTCTTCACACAGTTACAAGTATGACATCCTCTGTGAACCCCCACAACTGAGACTGAGTAATAAACCAATCAAAATACTTTCCTGGTTAGGATATTGTCAACTGTAAAAATACCACAAATCTCATCATCAACCAGCCATCATACCATACAGACCTTTTGCCTTCGATTATTCCTTGTCACTTAGATGTTCTGGACACATACTGTTGCTGTTACAGTAGTGTGTTGCTGTATGAGATACAAATACATTGCCAACAGAAGTGGTACACAATGAGAAATGAAGGCATCTTCAAAGAGAATCACTTTCACCCAGAGCCCAGTGAATACTTAAAAAACAGGTCCACAAAAATGCCTGGAGATGGATGGCTTGGTTCTGCCGAAAAATACTGACACCATGTTTCATGCCATATGGGTCTTTCTTTGTAATACCCCATGTACAGTAGAGTTAACAATAGTACTATCAGCCTGTTTGTTTCTTGAAAAAAAAATACAGTGATGACCAAATCCAATGACAGATCAATAACAGAACAAAAGTGAAATGATCTTCAATTATAGAGTCAATGTTACATCTCCATATCTAGTTATGGAAATGATAGTTACACACAACAATGACAGACGTTGCACTCTGAATACAGAGCTGTAGGTTATAGGGGTGTAACGGTTCACCAAACCTTGTTTGGTACGTATCGCCGTTTTGGGGTCATGGTTCGGTTTCGGTACAGCAGGGAAATGAAATTGTTGTTTATTTAAGAAAATACAAAGTGTTGTCTTCCTGATTCCATATATGATCATGAGTCATATAATGCCTGATGAAAGCACAAATCAGGAATAACACTTTGTATTTTCTTAAATGAAAACACACGATTACTCATCAACAACACTAAAATAAAGTGCAATATGCATGTAAAATCAATATGTAAACTTGGCTCAGACATTGTATAGGCCTATGCTATAAGGTTTTCTTACAAAGAGAAAAACATGCACACTTGTGTGACTCTCAAAGGGGGCCTGTCTGTAGCACGGTACTTCTCATTTCCCACTCTGGGGTAATGTGATGGGCTGTCACTTAAGTAGGGCTCTGTAGCCCTGGAGGTCGATCCATCTGTAGTAAGCGCAACACAGGGTGGATTGGCCAATTCATTGACAACTTCGGCTTTAGCTTGCTTATATAGAGCGGGTACTAACTACCTGTTTGCTGAAATGGGTGCGAGAGGGCGAAGACCGTAACGTTGCTCGAGCACTTTCACGAGGTGCTGAACCCCCCTAATTTTCTCAAACACCGAAAATGGCCGTATATCCACGGCTATAAACATGCCTATCGCTCGTGTAATTTCTTTGTCCTGTCAGAATCAGCTGTGAAGGGTTTCTTGAATGCAGAGGGGAGACGAAGTATTTTTTTTTTTTGCGTTTCCGTCATGCTGCGGTGGTAAGAATGCTGGGGTGATGTTGGCATAAATGTGTCAACATGTTTGAGGTGTTGGCAGCTGCATAGGCTATTCTCGTTGAGCAGTAGCGATATACTCTCTGTCCATCGCCAATGTAATCTACTAAGAAGCAAACATTTTCCAAAACTGGAGATTTAAACGATGATGGAGAATCCTCCTGGTTTATCGACCCCCCAACTCGCCATCGTACAGAACTAGTTCCCGGCTGCGCCTCACAAACGGACGGTTTGAAATGCGCTAATTAAGATTTGAATTTTGATTACAACGTTCGCATGGGCTCTAGTTGTTTTAACGGAATAGCCATGTTTTTACAGCTCAGATTTACTCAAGAGGCATACAACGCAGCGTAGGCATAGCCTAGTGTTTTTATTTTGTATATATATATATTTTTAATGTATTCATTTGGGTACACAGTGCGGATCAAACCGAGGTCCCCGTACCAACCGGTCCGGTACAAATACGTGTACCGTTACACCACTAGTAGGTTACTATAGCTCAGAGAATATAAATACTTTGACTGTTCTAGCTAGATTATCATTGTCATAATTCCTCTATAAATAGTTTAATTAAGACCTCTGCCATAAAATGGTCGCTTAAAAATAAAAAGGCCAACATTTAAATTATTTGAATGAAGAAGTGATTGAAGAAATAATCAAAGTGAACACTTAGGATAATAGAATTACAAAATAAAATCAAACAATTAAAAATCTATGAAAACTGTATTTTTGTTATCTAGAAAATAAACTTTGGAGTGAGATCTAGAATTTCTGGAATCAAGGGTGCCCGTGGTGGACCAATTTTGGAGAAGAGAGCCCTTTAGAGTGGGTGCTCAACAAACCAGTGCACACTGCAGGAGCTTCAGAGAGGGATCAGAACAGATCCTTTCTGGGCATTGGGGGGTTAGAAACCCCCTCAGACAGAGAGGGATAGGCACTGAGAGTCTGTGTGGGGGTCCGGTCCACCATCCACCCCAGACAACAGCATGCACTTGCAAGTGCTCATCCTCTCCCCCATTCATCGATGGAGGAAAAGTTATCATGTTATCAGATGCCTGCATGACATATCATTTCTCTAGGGGGGAACAAAAATTCAGGGCAAAAGAGAACAAAGGAGGGAGAAGGCAACGGCTCCATCCATATTGTCTGTTTTCCTGTCCTGCATATCGACGATCATCTCAAGTGATGAGCTGAATCATTGCTCCATCTGGGCTGTTCCATGAAAACACACACTGGCTGGAGGTTTACACACAGGAAATGACACGGTATGGCTATATCCTGGAGTCGCCCTTCTCCTACCGCAACAGTTCGGAGTGTTTGAGAGACAGAGAAAACAAATCTCCTGTAGGACCCTTTGTTCTGCTACTGGAGGGGTTTGCAGCTCACAGTTCACAGTGGCAAGAGAAGGAACGCTGTGAACTTTGCCTTTCAACTGGCAGCCAGGCGTTGCACATATCTTCAAAGAATCAGCTCTTGAACGTGGTTAGTAGAGAATGTGTGTATTTCCTGACTAAACTCATGATAGACAGCAGCACGGACAAAGGTAGGACCAAAACGTAGGTATGTTGGTCGACTCGAATCAACCTTCCTTGTTGGTAAGATAAAGAGTCCACAGAGCAGAGAAGAGTTAGTCTGTCAGACGACAGATGAAGTGAGAGGAGAAAGTCCCCTAGTCTCAGTCCAGCAGGTTACCATGCTCCTGTGCCCGGGTCAGGCTGTCTTTGCGGTGCAGGTGGTGGACTCCCATCCTCTTTGGGCTCTTCAGGGGTCGGCCGGGGGTGGAAGCGGAGGAGTTGCCGGGGAGGGGAGGGGTGTTCTCTGTATAGTCCTCTAGCCCTGCCAGGACCCTGGGGACTATGACAGGGAAGTCATGTGGCAGGATGTCTCTCTCCTCTGCAGAGCTGCCTACAGACCCCGTCTCCTCCACAAACGCATTCCTCTTGGCCTCCGCCAGGCTGGTCTCCACAGTGATGGCCGTTGACACGGTGTTGCCACTGGCGTCATCTTGGTCGTTGTCCAGGGCCAACAGCAGCTGCTCGCTCTCCTCTGTTGAGACGTCTGCTCCGTAATGCCCCCTCCTGTTGCGGAGGTCAGCCATGCTGCTGGTGTCAGTGTCCAGGCTGGACTCTTGGCTAGCTGTCCAGCTGCGAGTGGAGGACCCCTCCTCCCCATCCGAGTAGGCTCCCCGTAGCACCCCCCTGTGGGACCCCCCGCCACCTGGCTTGCTGGTCTGGGTCCTCTCCAGGTCCTTGACCGTCTCGCTACTGAAGGAGGTGCGGTTGACCAGGGTGCCCTCAGAGGATGGTGCCATCTTTTCCACAAACATGCGCTGCCAGTTGGCCAGCAGGTCCTCTTCGGAGCTGCCTGAGCTGGCGAAGGCACTGGGGGGCTGAGGGGGGCTGCTGAAGGGGCTGGACTGACTGGAAATGGGGTCTGCTGTGTCCAGCTGAGTAGGCGTGCGGCAGGGGTCACGCTGCCCCCCTCCCCCTGAGGAGGAGGAAGCCCCAGAGCGCCAGCCCCCGTCCGACACGGCGGGGCTGTTGGGCACAGTGCGCTGGCGCTCATTCTCCTCGTCGTTCTGCACCAGGCTGAGGGAGATGGCCTGGCGCGTTGCGTAGGTGCAGTTGGGCAGGGGGCTGTTCTTGGGGATCTTCACCTTGTCGTCCGAAGAGAACTCGATCACCTTGCGGCCGGGGTAGAGGGGGTGGGGCGGAGGGGGGGCTGGGTAGGGGTTGAGCTTCTCGAAGGCCCCACCACCCTCCTCTACTGGCTGGCCATCTGCAGACAGGCTGCTCTGGCTCCGACACATGCCGTTCTGCTGGAGGAGCTCCTGGGCCTGGCTGCTTTGGGCTGGGGCTCTGCTGCTGTGGCGGGGACCCCCATTCTCTCTACCCCCTCTTCCTGCCTCGGCCTGGGGCCCCGTCATGTCCACATGCACAAACACGTCCTCTGCCTGGGGCCGGCCTGCGCTGCTGCTGGACTGGGCAGAGTTGAGCACCAGAGGCTCAGGCTTCTCCAGTACGCGGGCGATGACTGAGGTGGGCACCACGTCGGCAGGCGTCAGGCTCATGGTGTCGGAGTCCTGGCCCTGGGCCCCCTGGGAACTCTTATCTGGCAGACTGGCCTTCATGTGCTTGTTCACCATGTCCTGCAGCTCATAGGGCAGCTGGAAGACAGAGGAGACAAACATAAAACGTGACATGTTTCACAGACAGGCAAAAAAGATAATGTCAAAATCAAAAGTCACAGGCTTGTCATAAACTCTGAGTGACTTTTTAAACTTTAAGGCTATTTTAAAACTAGAGTCCCGTGGTACACTAAAGTACTAAATATTACAGACGTAACTTGTATAAAAAACATGTTACCAAATAATGATAACTCCCCTAACTGCAGTATCTCCCAATTCCCTCCATTAAGTGGAACAACTTTAAAAACCTGTATCTCACAAGGGCTGACAAATCTTTCTTGACTTGCGCTTTTAAAACAGCCTGTATAGCTCGCAGTGGGAGTATTTACAACCTCATGTCAAATGCAAGAAGCTTTAAACTTTCCCTAATAACCGAGTAGCAAAAACTTAGCACTCATATCGCTCCTATGCAGGGACTGTGCTCCGATCCAAATTAGAAAGCAGCACATCTCAGTGGGATACAAGTGGAGTCAGGATTGTCAGTAACAGTTCCAGATAATTTCTAAAAGAGCTGCTATGATCCTGTAGTGGATCAGCCCCCCTGTGTAAAAGCAGTGAGTGACACTAACACATGGCAGCCAGATCAGACACATCACTGGGCTGTCTGATGCTAGATATGTGAATGGAAGAGAACACTGGGATCTATCTGGTGGGTTGCCTTCAGAGAGGACTATCTCAACCTCAATCAGCGCTGTGAAGGAGACCGTCTCCTGCTGCCTTTCTTCCCTGGCCACCAAATGTCTCCTTGTCCCCGACTCCCCATTCACAGGAACAGAAAGAGCGAGAAAAAATAAAAATAAATGTCTCACCTCTAATGAGATAACTGAAGGGTGGCGAGAAAGAAAGAGAAAGTGAGTAGAGAGTAAAGAGAAAAAAGGCAGGCATCTAGGGCCCTTCTATCACGGTAATACTGGGTGTGAAGAGGCAGGGCAGAGATATTGATTTGTGGAAAATGGGTAGAGAGAAGAGTCGATTCCACAGCACCCGCTGCCTGATGCCCTAACAATCCTGGTGAGCAATGATCCGCCCACCCGCGTCCCGTTCACTTCCTCTGGTCAGCGGGACATGGCCGGATCAATGAAACATTACAGGGCTGCCAGGATGACATACCCCTGACTTCTGTCCAATTACGTATAGAGAGCTAACAGGCTGCCAAGAGTTACAGGTCATAACCAATGATTTATATATACACTAGATGACTGACAAGGAGCGGTGTTTTGAAGCCACCGTGCCTCCATCTTGGCACTCACATTTGGAAAAAAAATATTTTGGAAGCTATATAAATGCATTTATTAATGTATACATTTGTTTTTGGCACATTTATTTTACATTTACATTTAAGTCATTTAGCAGACGCTCTTATCCAGAGCGACTTACAAATGTATTCTAATACAGACACATTAATGCATACTTTTAAATTATAGTTTGTGAGCTAAACATACAAATAAAAAAATACAGTGCATTCGGGAAAGTATTCAGATCCCTTGACTTTTTCCATAGTTTGTCTTTGAAACATTTAATTGAAATACTGTAGAATTACATTAATTCCTATGCTGCTCCTTCTGGGGAATGACAATATGGCCGACCGGTGGCGTCAAAGCCTCATTAGCCAATACATAGTATCAGCAATCCAAGGTTTATATACATCATTGGTCATGACTCATGATGAGCTAACAAGCAGCTATGTATCACGTCCATGTGCACACAAAGGTACTGTGTTTTAGAGCCTTAACTAAAAGACACACAATGGCTGTAGCAAAAAGTGTTTAATTCTTCATTGAGTGAGAGACCTTTTTAGCACCATTCTTTCCTATAGAACACTGGCTGTATTATTATAGGCACTGCAGGCAATCACCGTGATGTAAATCTGCATGGGTCCATTGATGGCCACAGTCATGGTTATTTTCCATGCTATTGTACTAACTGCTTGCACGCTGAAAATGTTATCAATTAGCATAAACTCATCAATAGATGGCCAGTTTGAGGCAAAGTGGGCATACTATATATGGCATAATGCCTGGGGAGACAAAAGCTGAGCTTTTTCATAGAACAATCACATGTGCAGCAGTGTGAATTGGTGCTCACAGACAGCCAAACCACTAGTGAGTAGCCTCAGAACTGGGCTGCTGGGCAACTCCTGCCATGCTGTATAATTGACTTGTTTCCTTAGGCAATCTTCAGAATTCATTAAATCTCCCACAGATGGCTGCTGCCCGCCTGATAAGATGATTTGTATACACAGCTTCGTTTCCAACCCCCACCCAGGGAGTAGCTCATCTGGACACAGGATGACTCAATGCTGTCTGCCCCCTTTCTGTCAGCCTGTTTGTCTGTCTGCCCTCCTGTCTGTCTGCTTGCCTGTCCTTGTCCATACTGCCGGATCTTCTCCCAGGAGGATGCTGTAACCATGGTTATCCATGTTGCCCTTTGGTGTGCTTTTCTCTGCTGCTGCTGATGTCATGCTTCCTCCTTCCTTTCTGATTCTCTCCTAATGGACGATGACTGTCAAGGGGATGTTGCCTAATGGTCAATGCTTTGATTTTCGAAAATGTGTCCTCATCTTTAAGGCACTTCACTTGTTTTGTATTGCGAAAAAGAGCTTGCTGCAACAATTGGACTTAGATCTCAGTCGGTAGACCCAGTACAAGAACTACCACGTTCTGCCCACTAGGTTCTTCTCTAGGTCCTTAGTAGCTTAGTTGGTAAGAGGGGGGAGCGTCTGCTATGTGGCATATAAATCCATAAAATCAGTCTCGCAAGCTCAGATAAAATGTGGGGGGAAATTGCTGGCTCACTTGTTGAATGTATAAGGGCATGAGTCCATGCAATCAGCAAGTGTTTGAACTAGCTGCATAACCTGGATGCCTTTGAATACTTGAGCAGTTTAAACAAGATATGTAAAATGTGTGTTTAAGTACAAAAGTTGCCTTTGGTGTAGAACCACCAGGTAAGCAAAACATTCTTTCAATTAACACTTGACAAATATAGAGAGCACAAAATGGTTCCCTCAGAGCACAAATAAGCTGATCATAAAACAAGGGAATAAAATGAGGTGTGCGAACAGATCTGCAGCTTGAGGCAGATTGTTAGGTTTCCTAGCAGTAATACTGGCTGCCACACGTCCAGTAATGAATTACTGCAGGACTGGGAGATAATTCTGCTCAGATGAATTATACATCTCCTAAAAATAGCCCTGGCTCCTGGATGCCAGTCACAGCCCTGCGGCGACAACCTGGCTGGCGCATCGGCAGTAATAGTCCTCTGGAGACCAGAGTATCAGGAATTAAGACAGCACTGTCGATTAATAAACTAACTGAAGGTGTTGGAGCAGCAGAGCCCTACACATCAATGGACTGGAGAAAATAGCCAAGCCGCACCTCCAAACACTGTCTCTCATTTAATAAGGGATTGGATTGTTAGAGCACAGGTAGTGTTGGACTTTGGCACTAAAAGAGAAGCTGCTCATATTAGGCATCTACCAGTTTATTTATCATTCAGCTGAACAAAACATAAAAGTAAACCATCTGTAAATTGTTTCATTTGAGCAAGTTTAATTCAAAACTTGATTACAAAACAAGTGTCTCCAGAAATAAGCACCAGTTGTTCATTTCTTACAATCAACCTGACAGTATTGACAGTTCAGTGTTTAACATTGGTTGGTTATGGAAGGGATGCACAGAGGAGCCTCTTCCTTCATAATGTCATAGTTCAAAACATTTAGCATGTAGCTAAATGTTTTATTTATTCAAGAGTCTTAGGGAGTGAAATTAAGGTGCAAAATAGTAATCTAATGGATTTTACACTTGAGAAAAACATTTAATCTAAGAGAGATTCATAGCACAACACTTTGATTTAGATGGATTTGTTTAATCATACTGACTTCAATTCCGTTGTTAGCTGATGTGTGGATTACCCAGCAGTCTGTGGTTTGATAGCTCTGATGAAGCCAGTATTGAACTCAGTGGCTCTTCATTTAGTGGAGAGACATCACTGATCACATTATGGGCCAGAATATGGTCTGAAGTTCTCACCTAGAGGTGAGAACAGTGACAAAAGGTGCTTCAAGTTTTCATTGAAGTCAACGGCAGGTCTAAACTAAGAAACTATTTCTGGTACTGTATATCGTCCACCTTAGAGTTGATTGCTCCACACTCAAACACACTCAAAGGCCAGGAGCTGTGATAAAGCGGCCAGGCAAACCTTTTTTTTTTTTTTAAACCTCTCCCTCTTTCTATTCTCTTTGTTTCTCTCTTTGCCTAGTCCTCTCTGACGCCAGGGTCAGACAAAACCAGTGAAGAGCTCCACAGCCTTTATTAAAAGTCACCCAGGCGACCGCTCTCTCCCCCTCTTTCTCCCTCTCTCTCTCTCCCATGTCCAAGAGTGTCACTGCGGAGTGCAAAACACACACAGATCTAACAGTGCCACCGTGACAAGTGGAAGGCCTTTTATATATGAGCCGTAATCATTCACATCATACGATCAGAGCTGTACTTACATCTGCAAACTTGTGGTTTCTGAAATGGGACTTATTGCACTTCAAAAGCTGCACGGCCAAATTGCAATCTTGCCGATAGCGCTCCTGTCAGGGAGGAGAACAGAACAAGGGGTGAAAGGGTAGGGGTATGGAGAGAGAAAAGGATCAAATACTCAATGTTAGAGGTATACTGGAAACGTCCATTTCTCACAAAGCACTTGGACTTGATTCTCTGAATGGTGTGGTTGATCTGTTCAAGGTCTCAATCTTACCCCAAACTGTGGTTCTATATTATACATCTAACTTCATATCTGGTATGTGATAACTCAAAGAGGGACAGTGTGACAACACCCACGTTCAACTCCTCCAGCTTGTCAATGGTGTTCTTGGCGTCCAGGAGTTTGTTGGTGAGCTCCACTATCTCCTGGTCCATGGTCTTCTTGTCCCTCTCCACCTTACGGAGCTGTAGACGGATAATGGTGGTGGGATGCATAATGTTAGAAAGCAGCGTCATGCATCACTCACGTAGGGATAACCATAGCCAGTATAGGGGTGCACTAGCTGCAGGACTCTATGTTTACGTAAGCACACAGAGTGATTTCCTCATTGATTACAGCTAAAACCTGTCTCCTCCTCCAGCCTCTCCGCTAGCTGACACAGCAGCACAGAGACAGAGGCTGTTGCTATCCACTCAGCTCAGCAGTGTGTTGAGAGAGAAACCAAAAAAGTACAGGCGCAGGACATGTCCTACATAAACAGATCGATGGCACATTATGAAGTGACAAAGTGTGAGCTCAAAGGACTCTGGGTCTGAGTCTGTGCCGAGTCACCCTAATAATGCGGTTACTCCCTCTCGCACTCACTCACGACATATGTTTGGGGAATACAATAACCTATAACTTCAGTCAAACAGCTGGGCAGGTGACATGCTGTTGTATCTTTAAAAGAGCCAGTGAATCGCTTCAGTTTTAACATCTAGCTATGTGAGTGACACTTTAACAACATGACAGGTAGATTATGCAAAGTCTATAATAGGCAACAATTGATCAAATACTCTGTAGTTTCAGCACTAATATTATCTGATGTATTATTATATCAGGATTAAAGGGATTCTCTAATATAACAAGATATCTCTGATTTCAGAGGTACCACAGGAATAGCTTGTGGTCCTGAGTGGCTATGGTGAGTATTTTTTAAGTAACCAAGACTTAGCCAACAAATGGGTCTTGCTACAGTAGGGACCTCACACTATACGTGCAATATTTCTCAAGTTGAGTTAACAAAAAACAACGAATGTCGGTTCTCTGGGCTTCGGTACGTTCTCTCGCAGCAAATAATCCCTAAACCCCTGAGCTGGAGAACTTCCAAACCAATTAATAGTGCGGGCGGATCCAGATGCTGTGACTCCTCTGTGTGTGTGTTAGCTAGCGAGCAAGCGCAGGCCCAGATCCTTGCATTAATATTCACCACAGGCTCATTAGAGCCTCCAGTGAGCCCACTGTGTGGGCTTGGACCTGCACTGACACCCTGTGAGCAGCCTGGACCAAGGCTGCAGTTCTGAACGTCTGCCAACACAATATCAACGTCATTATTGGTTAACACACCAAGTACAATGTCTTACTTCGGGGGGCCTCCCTGTATTTTATATCTGACATTGTCCATTTACTAGATGTTAGCTGAAGCCTGCACGGTAGTGAGCACTGAGCAGCTCTGTCCAGTTGTTTTAGTGGTCGTGATCGATCACGCAACATGATTGGACTATGAAAATAGCAAGATCCAATCCTCACAGAGGGATATGGTATAGTCACCACCACTTGGTAGAAAAGAGGAACCATCATTTATCTGTCCATAGAGAATCAGTGAGAAAGAGAGTTACTGAGAGACATATAGACAGAATGAGACCCAGACTGTATCTCCTGCTCCATTGGTTGCCATGTCAATGATGTAACACACCTATGGTAAAGGGGATATACAGTGTACAAAACATTAGGAACACCTTCCTAATATTGAGTTGCACCACCTTTTGCCCTCAGAACAGCCTCAATTCGACTCGTTCCACAGGAATGCTGGCCCATGTTGACTCCAATGCTTCCCACAGTTGTGTCAAGTTGGCTGGATGTCCTTTGGGTGGTGGACCATTCTTGATACACACAGGAAACTGTTGAGCGTGAAAAACCCAGCAGCGTTGCAGTTTTTGACACAAACTGGTGCGCCTGGCACGTACTACCATATCCTGTTCAAAGGCACTTAAATATTTTGTCTTGCTCGCTGAATGGCACACATACGCAATCCATGTCTCAATTTTCTCAAGGCTTAAAAATCCTTATTTAACCTGTCTCCCCCCCTTCATCTACACTGATTGAAGTGGATTTAACAAGTGACAATAAGGTTCATAGCTTTCACCTAGATTCACTTGGTCAGTCTATGTCATGGGAAGAGCAGGAGTTCCTAATGTTTTGTACACTCAGTGTATAGAGAGGTGGGGGACTTGACTAGAAAACTAAAGTTTGAATCACTGGGCACACCTAGAGAAACACATTCTATTCCCCCAGCCCCTCATGCCCAACCCCAACCCCCATGCATAGGGCCAAAGCAGAGCTACACAGACAGGATGATCTACTGCAGGACATCTAGAGCAGTTTGCCAGGACAAGACAAGAGGATGGAGAGACTTCCTAGTTCAGAGATGACAAGCAGAGCAGTAATGAAAATGACAACTGTAATAAATGCTCAGAGGGGGAAGAGGGGGGAGGAAGACAGGAGAGAAAAAGAATGATAACGCAACTGCGTAGACCCAGGTTTGACTGATAGCAGCCTGATGACGATGAGACAGCACGTCACGAAGCAGCAGCATGAGAGAGGGGGAGAGAATGAGAGAAACAGACAGAAAGAAAAAAAGACGGATGGTGAGAACACAGAATATTTTGGTCTCTTCTTTTGTACATTTGGCATGGTCTCCAGTGCGTCATCGGCTAATAAGGTTTCTGATTGTGTACTCCTCTAACGGAACACGTCAGAACAGGTTGAAACATTCATGTCATTTAAGCCTCGACTGTTAGACAGGGGTCACACCATCAATAGAATTCTAAAAGAGAACTGGGAAATCGCATCAATTTAGGTTTAACACAAAAATAATGGGATCCACAAGGATGAGGAAGGAGGATTTGAGAGCTGTGTATTAGGGTATTCGAGTATTCGATTCAAGGTTTGTAATTCGTTTACTAATAATTTAATACAAAAAGTTTTGTTTTCCGTTGTGTATTAGAACAACCAGTATTTGGAACACTAGATGTCATACCACAAACATTTTGAGTTCAGCCCCGCTTCACGTAACATGCGAGCACTCAAACATTTTTTTAATGAGAGTACTCAAACACAGACATTCTTTTAAATGCCCATCCCTACTGTGCATGTTTAAAGGCCACCTTTGACAAGGTGAATGTGGGATCAGAGCATGTTTTGGGCAGAGTAATCCTCTGGCAATTGCAAAGAGATTACCTCACATCAAGGCCAGCCCCACACACACACACACAAACAAATCACCTGTCCCAACCACAAAGCTCCAACCGGCCCATCAGTCCTCGATCAGCTACCTCCTCTACACTGACAATTAACCGGGCTGGACTGAAATCAGAATCAGACAGTAGAATGTTTGTAGATCATTCCACAGTAAATCTGTGGTGTGAATCTAGTCTGGGAGGGCTAGCCTGTGGGTAATGGACAGTCAAGGGAGACTGCTTGTAGTTGTGCTCAGATCACTTGCCATGCGGAGAGTTGGCAGTTACACAGCACACAAAGCAACATAATGTCTGTCCTTGTCAGTGTAAAACAGAGCAGCTTGACTTTGATTTTGTCACACAGCTATCACAGAGGGCAGGGGACCGTACCACAGCCACCAGCAAAGGATCATAGCTAACTATTTCGACATTAGTCAATCTACATTTTTATGGGAAATAAAAATTTGGCCAGTGGGCACGTTTGCTTTGACTAAATGTGATTGGATTAGAAAGAATAGACATACAGCATGCACACGCATACACATACCACCAACACACACACACACACACTAATCAAACAACCATCAGACACAGCAGCATTCATATAGAAAACATCTAACATAGATGCATTCTTTATGTCCTGATACATAATATATGATGGATGATGATAGTGGAGAAACGGTCAATGCTATTCATTCATGGTTGTTATGTTGTATGGTTGACAAGTCATATTGTAATCATCCAATAAACCTATAGCATCATAACGTAGTAAGCTGTGTTTTAAAGGGACAGTCTGGGATTTGCCATTGCGGGAATATGTAAGTGTCTCTTTGCACATAAATTCCCTGGTTGTCACTTGGGGTAGTTCGGGAGAGTGTGTAAGCACACACACACACACACACACACACAGGTTTGCCTGGCGTGCTGCCCGGGGGAATAGCAGAGCTGTGGACCTTCCCATCTCCCAGAGGGGCTAGCAGAGACATAGGTGATAGAATGATTTGGCCTTTTAATGAAGTCAATTCCCTCTGTGCTAATCCCTTGCAGCACTCTGTACCACAGAACCTTCCAAAAGAGATCCTGCGACATAATTAGCTGACAGGTGTGGGATAATGGCATAATGAGAGTGCTCTTTAGAAAAAACACACCGCTGTATGGGAGAGCCTCTTCCCCAATACAGAATAACTCCACTGACCTGGCATGCTGGGAAACTCCATGACATAGAAACCTTTGGATGTTGTAGTGTTTGCAAATCTACAATACTTTTGACCAGAGAAAGGTCAAAAGGACAAGTAGTATTTTGGGAAATGGAGTGAAGGTTAAGTTATGTGTCAAGGTTTCCTTTCAAAGGTAGTCACACTCCCTCCCGAGTGGCGCAGTGGTCTAAGGCACTGCATCGCAGTGCTAGCTGTGGCACTAGAGATCCTGGTTCGAATCCAGGCTCTGTCGTAGCCGGCCGCGACCGGGAGACCCGTGGGGCGGCGCACAATTGGCCCAGCGTCGTCCAGGGTAGGGGAGGGAATGGCCGGCAGGGATGTAGCTCAGTTGGTAGAGCATGGCATTTGCAACGCCTGGGTTGTGGGTTCGAATCCAGTATAAAAAATAAAAATGTATGCACTCACTAACTGTAAGTCACTCTGGATAAGAGCGTCTGCTAAATGACGTAAATGTAATGTAAATGTAAAGTACATCAAATGTTTAAGTCCAATGAACACCTATAGATAAGCAAAGAGGGCAGGTGGGAGAGTTGAAAGGTGAAAGGTTACCAGGGAATGAAGCTTCTCCTCCAAGTCCTGGTTGGCCCTCTGGGAGGCAGTGTAGCTGTTCTGCAGTCTGTGGAGGACAGAATGTGTCTCAGTTAATGGTGCAGTGTCTACAGAGCTGAGCCCATCCAGATAGAAAAGTTATTGGAAATCCACAGATGCTACGCTGCAGAGCCTGAGATGAGGCCACTGGTACAGAACGTAGCACTGCAGTAACAGAACAACTCAACCACATCATATTGTTTTGTCTTTCAGTGCAATCACCTCCCATCATAGTTCAGATTATGCGGTTGTCTTTTCTTGTGCGTCTTGTCTGGTTGTCAAATAAATAAATACAATTGCCATATGAGGCACCAGAAAATGGGTACATCCTGCAGTAGAAGTATGCATGCTGTTCTTTTGGCAGTCACATCCATATACATTTAGATCACTTTATTTCCATTTCTACTCAACAGCAGTGCGGTATGAATCCTCTCAGAGGACTTAATGAAGCCATCAGAGTTTGCTCGCGCCGTTTTTCAACAGGTTAGACATTCGGAACAAATTACGAGAGATGGGAGGAAAGGGGAGAGAGGAGTCTGAACGAAACTCATTTCAATAGGGCCAATAGCAATTACTTTCCCACTATCCACTGCCTCCTAAATTGGCTAGATAAATTCCTCTAAAAAAATGAGAGGTTGTGTATTTCATGGAATGCAATTATGATGGAGGAAATTCAAAGGGTTAAAATGGCAATATAGTGATTTTCCACATAGCTTTGCAGGCTGAGATGGGCCCTGCAGTTATGTACTGAATAGGTATTGATGTTCCTGTTGTATAGAAATAGCCTCCAACCCCTGATTGTGCACCACCTTCATTATCATAATCATCATCTGTCACACCCACAATGTGTAATGGTGAGCAACAGTAAAAGAGGTGTGGGAGTCAGGAAGTTCAGGGCACTAAAGCACACCGCACCTTAATCTTTCAGTATAATCTTTTCAGTAAGTGTGAATCATGATAAATTATGTGCAAGTCAACTCCCTGTGAGACTTTTTGAACAAAGAAACCCAAAGAAACAGATGTTAGAAAATCAGTATTTGAAAGGTCTAATCACTTCTCTGTCCATTGTTATTTTACAAATGTTGCCTTTGTTAACATTTGTATGGTTCAAACCCCATCTCACAGAAACTCCAGAGCATATGATTCAGGACTGACTGAAAATCCAACATCTGAAATCCAATAGAAGTCTAAAAAGCACACCAATGATGCTCACAATGCACTCCGCCGGTCACCCTTTCCATTGAGAGCGGATTACAAGGCCAGTCTAGCAGCTTGTGATCCTCTCCATGGTAGTGAGGTCTGCACTAGGGCCATGCTCTAGCCGGTTAGTCTCATCTCCGCTCTCTGCCCTGAGCCATACGGTGTGCTCATTTGACCACGCAGATGGGAACATGTTACAATAACTGCCGTCCCCGGGCCAACTGGCCAAGTGATTGATTAATAGATCGAACAATATTGCATATGGACACACGCACTGGTGTAACCTTACCCTGATTACAACCCCAATGCAATGACACTAAAGCCATTGCCGTGTCCAGGGTGTATCAGCGGTACCAGTGTGTATCAATGGGATTCATTCTACAAAACCTCTGGCTTTTTACGACATATTTCCCAAAGGGCTGTCCTTCCCAATAACACCAGCATCTCTTATTACCCTCTGGCACATCCTTCTCATTCCTCACTAATCAAAAAGGCTTCACCGCCAATGATTTTCACTGTCTTTGTCCCAATCAAAAGTTAATAAACATTTGAGCAAAGCTCACCGATTCCCACCGTGGTACACATTTACATTTGACATTCAAGTAATTTAGCAGACGCTCGTATCCAGAGTGACGTACAGTATTGAGTCCATACTTTAACACTCCCGCTGCATTTCAGTGTTCAGAGGATCGAGATTCATCTGACTTTGTGCTGATGGAATTCAAATTGGGCAGTGCAATTACAGTCGCCTGATGGCTCCACAAAGAAGTCAGATTGAATAGTCTGGCAGCCGTAAACTAATCAAATCAAGTCCTCCGAGAGTTACATGTGAATGCTGCTCCTGGGTCTGGTAAACTAAATAAAAAATTGTAGTCGTAATTACAACAATTTGCTTTTCATTCCCAGAGCTTTTTCCCCATGCAGAGTGTGATCTCTGAAAGCATCTGTGTAACGGTGCTGCCCGGTGATAATCAGATAGGACAAACAGTGAGGGGAAAAACTTATTTGATCCCCTGCTGATTCTGTACGTTTGCCCACTGACAAAGACATGATCAGTCTATCATTTTAATGGTAGGTTTATTTAAACAGTGAGAGACAGAATAACAACAAAAAAATCCTGAAAAACGCATGTCAAAAATGTTATTAATTGATTTGCATTTTAATGAGGGAAATAAGTATTTTACCCCCTCTCAATCAGAAAGATTTCTGGCTCCCAGGTGTCTTTTATACAGGTAACGAGCTGAGATTAGGAGCACACTCTTAAAGGGAGTGCTCCTAATCTCAGTTTGTTACCTGTATAAAAGACACCTGTCCACAGAAGCAATCAATCAATCAATCAATCAGATTCCAAACTCTCCACCATGACCAAGACCAAAGAGCTCTACAAGGATGTCAGGGACAAGATTGTAGACCTACACAAGGCTGGAATGGGCTACAAGACCATCGCCAAGCAGCTTGGTGAGAAGGTGACAACAGTTGGTGCGATTATTCGCAAATGGAAGAAACACAAAATAACTGTCAATCTCCCTCGGCCTTGGGCTCCCTCGGCCAAGATCTCACCTCGTGGAGTTGCAATGATCATGAGAACGGTGAGGAATCAGCCCAGAACTACACGGGAGGATCTTGTCAATGATCTCAAGGCAGCTGGGACCATAGTCACCAAGAAAACAATTGGTAACACACTACACTGTGAAGAACTGAAATCCTGCAGCGCCCGCAAGGTCCCCCTGCTCAAGAAAGCACATATACAGGGCCGTCTGAAGTTTGCTAATGAACATCTGAATGATTCAGAGGAGAACTGGGTGAAAGTGTTGTGGTCAGATGAGACCAAAATCGAGCTCTTTGGCATCAACTCAACTCGCCGTGTTTGGAGGAGGAGGAACGCTGCCTATGACCCCAAGAACACCATCCCCACTGTCAAACATGGAGGTGGAAACATTATGCTTTGGGGGTGTTTTTCTGCTAAGGGGACAGGACAACTTCACCGCATCAAAGGGACGATGGACGGGTCATGTACCGTCAAATCTTGGGTGAAAACCTCCTTCCCTCAGCCAGGGCATTGACAATGGGTCGTGGATGGGTATTCCAGCATGACAATGACCCAAAACACACGGCCAAGGCAACAAAGGAGTGGCTCAAGAAGAAGCACATTAAGGTCCTGGAGTGGCCTAGCCAGTCTCCAGACCTTAATCCCATAGAAAATCTGTGGAGGGAGCTGAAGGTTCGAGTTGCCAAACGTCAGCCTCGAAACCTTAATGACTTGGAGAAGATCTGCAGTGGAGTGGAACAAAATCCCTCCTGAGATGTGTGCAAACCTGGTGGCCAACTACAAGAAACGTCTGACCTCTGTGATTGCCAACAAGGGTTTGCCACCAAGTACTAAGTTATGTTTTGCAGAGGGGTGAAATACTTATTTCCCTCATTAAAATGCAAATCAATTTATAACATTTTTGACATGCGTTTTTCTGGATTTTTTTGTTGTTATTCTGTCTCTCAATGTTCAAATAAACCTACCATTAAAATTATAGACTGATCATTTCTTTGTCAGTGGGCAAACGTACAAAATCAGCAGGGGATCAAATACTTTTTTCCCTCACTGTACGAGTGGAGCACACTCGTTAACTAATGGTAATCCAATTGAACCATTATCTTTGCTGAGGCTCCATTGAAATGTGTGACCATCTAATACGGAAATGCAGATGTACCATCGCATCCCGCATAGGCATGTAGTCTCATTCTGTGATTTATTGATGGAAACACTGCAGGGATAATTGAAAGTGACTGGCTGCTCACCGCGAAAAACAGGAAGATGCCTCTTGATTGGAGATAAACTGGGATGATTGCTTTTGAATTCGACACACACAGGGGATTTGAAATGAGCAGCCATGTGGTTTTCCCTGGAATCTTGACTTAAAACGTGCATTTTCACATTACCGCAACCCAGAGCCAAACCATTTGTAACAGTAAATGTGAAAATCTGTTTCTCCACATACACTACCAGTCAAAAGTTTGGACACACCTACTCATTCAAGGGTTTTTCTTTATTTTTACATTGTAGAATAATAGTGAAGACATCAAAACTATGAAATAACACACATGGAATCATGTAGTAACCAAAAAAGTGTTAAACAAATCTAAATATATTTTATATTTGAGATTCTTCAAAGTAGCCACCCTTTGCCTTGATGACAGCTTTGCACACTCTTGGCATTCTCTCAACCAGCTTCATGAGGTAGTCACCTGGAATGCATTTCAATTAACAGGTGTGCCTTCTTAAAAGTTAATTTGTGGAATTTATTTCCGTTTGAGCCAAATCAGTTGTGTTGTGAAAAGGTAGGGGGGGTATACAGAAGATAGCCCTATTTGGTATAAGACCAGGTCCGTATTATGGCAAAAACAGCTATAATAAGCAAAGAGAAACGACAGTCCATCATTACTTTAAAGACATGAAGGTCAGTCAATATGGAACATTTCAAGAACTTTGAAAGTTTCTTCAAGTGCAGTCGCAAAAACCATCAAGCGCTATGATGAAACTGGCTCTCATGAGGACCACCACAGGAATGGAAGACCCAGAGTTACCAGCCTCAGAAATTGCAGTCCAAATAAATGTTTTAGAGTTCAAGTAACAGACACATCTCAACATCAACTGTTCAGAGGGGACTATGTGAATTAGGCCTTCATGGTCGAATTGCTGCAAAGAAACCACTACTAAAGGACACCAATAAAAAGAAGAGACCTGCTTGGGCCAAGAAACACGAGCAATGGACATAAGACCGGTGGAAATTTGTCCTTTGGTCTGGAGTCCAAATTTGAGATTTTTGGTTCAAACCACCGTGTCTTTGTGAGACGCGGTGTGGGTGAACGGATTATCTCCGCATGAGTAGTTCCAACCGTAAAGCATGGAGGAGGAGTTATGGTGTGGGGGTGCTTTGCTGGTGACACGGTCTTTGATTTATTTAGAATTCAAGGCACACTTAACCAGCATGGCTACCACAGCATTCTGCAGCGATACGCCATCGCATCTGGTTTGGGTTTAGTGGGACTATCATTCGTTTTTCAACAGGACAATGACCCAACACACCTCCAGGTGGTGTAAGGACTATTTTACCAAGAAGGAGAGTGATGGAGTGCTGCATCAGATGACCTGGCCTCAACAATCCCCAGACCTCAACCCAATTGAGATGGTTTGGGATGAGTCGGACGGCAGAGTGAAGGAAAAGCAGCCAACAAGTGCTCAGCATATGTGGGAACTCCTTCAAGACTGTTGGAAAAGCATTCCAGGTGAAGCTAGTTGAGAGAATGCCAAGAGTGTGCAAAGCTGTCATCAAGGCAAAGGGTGGCTATTTGAAGATTCTCAAATTTAACATACATTTTGATTTGTTTAACACTTTTTTGGTTACTACATGATTCCATATGTGTTATTTCATAGTTTTGATGTCTTCGCTATTATTCTACAATGTAAAAAAAGAATAAAGAAAAAATAAAATAAAAACCCTTGAATGAGTAGGTGTGTCCAAACCTTTGAGTAGTACTGTACATGTTGACAGCGAGATAAAAATGAAATGGGACATTTACATATAAAGCTATTGGAAATGTATTAGAAAATAATTCAAATGCAGGCAACATATTTAATGATTAAAAGACAAAAATGGCAACCATTATCACCCGAAAGCAGATAGTGGGAAAATGTGTTGCCGCCAAGTCCCGTTTACCAGCTTTAGCTGCAGACCTGTGTTCTCCCTCTGGAGGAGTTTTAGTTTCCTCAGTGTGGTGGTAGGAACCTCATTGATCATTACCATGCCACTTCATAATAACATTAGCTTTACAATCTCATTAACCTGAGAGAGTTTCTTGTCTCATTAAAAGGTGGATTATGCATACCCCGACCATTACGCGGGTGTCATTTCCCTCTTTTTTAACCTGCACTTAAACAAAACATTTTCTTAAATCCATTTAAAATAGTTTTTAGGAATCAAAGACTGCATTTTCAGGCTTTTCAAGACCAACTTCTGTTAATAAGCTTTTTAAGTTATCTGTAAACTGTGAACATTTTAAATCTTTATTTAACAAGCTACAAGTTGTACACAGATGGGACTGGGCCTGCCTTTTTCTTCAGAATTAACTTGATTGACAAGCAGATGTGTAGAGATTGATTTCTTAATCAAAAGCTGGGAGGTGGGTTGCAGGTGTATTGCCAGGGAAAGCAGGAGAAGCATTCGCTTTTAATCAAGAGCTTCTGAAACACCGGAAAGATTGAAGGAAAGACAAATGATAGAAGAACCATGGTTGTGTGCCCATCATGTGGTATAGAACAAAATAAATAACAGAAACAACTCAGACGTAGTTCTGGTTCAACATTCAGGCTCTTTGAGGAAGGCCTGATGTTGTCACTAACTAGGGCTGACAGAGGAAGTGTGGTGGGGTGCTGAAGAGCCCTAGGGTAACATCCTCCCATTGAACAACAACGTTATGAAATATAGATAGATAGATACATCATAGATAAAACGGTATAGACTTCCTGGCATCACATTTTTTTCCATGTGGCAGAAACTTAACAAAACTCCCCCCAACCCCCCCATCCCACCCTCAAATAGACAATCCAACATGCCCGGAGTTTGAAGGAATTAATCAGACGGCTAAGCTCTCATTAATTCAACAGCTTTGATCAGATTCATTAAAAATGGATTGCCAGGGAAGGTATTCATTTCATCTTTCTGTGTCAAAAAAAGTGTGGTTGGGAGAGGAAGTGAGTGAGCACGGTGTGCAGTGTAACGGAATATTATCTGTGTCAAGAGATAGCAAGAGTGCTTCCCATAACATTGACAATGGGCTCAGGAAACGAGGTAGGTTGAACTCATCACCTGCGGAATTTGTCTCTCATCTTCTCCAGGTCGTCGCGCGTGCGACCCATCTCCCCCTGCATGTAGTGGCGACTGGTCTCAAACTCCGTCTCCATGGCCTCCATCTTGTGGGTGGTGTGGGAGAGCCGCCGGCGAAGGTCTTCATTCTGCTGCTGCAGGATCCTGGAGGGGAGAGGGAGTGGTGGAGAGGTGAAGGTAGAGGGGGGGGGGGCAGTCAGCCCAGGTGCAGTGGAATTACTCACAGACAGTATTGTATTACACATAGTGACTAGACTGACAAGACAAACAGAGAGCCATGGGAACTTGCTTCAGCCACAGACCAACCAAAATTCAGGGACACAGTATATTCACAGTTTATTTAAAATATAAAAATGTCACAATGGGAATAGAGAAAATTCATAATTAACAACTATGATTAACATAATGAGGGAAAATTGGCATATGTGAAAGAAATAGTTATTGGTTTTGCAGGTCCATGCATATGAGTGAGTGCATATTTATGACAGAGTGTGTGTGTCTTTTCTCTGTGTGTGATGAGAGAGAGCGAACACATGGTTGTCCGCAGCACTCGTGTGTGCGCGTGTCTGTCTGTCTGCAGCGGGCACGCGAGTAGCCTGTGTCTCGGGTGGCTGCCTACCTGTGCCTAGGTTCCGTTGTCCTAGTGTGTCTGTGGAGTCTAATGGGAGCAGCTGTCAGGATGCTGGGGGGACGGGAGGGGAGGGAGCTGCTGCCATGGGACAGGACACATCTGCCATAACCCACTGTCCCCAATCCTGTCACCACACCGCGTGTCGCACCATGCAGCATCCAGCCACCCACTCGCTGCTGGCTGCACACTCCGATTAAAACCACTGTTTTCAGAGTCTCTGTCCTACTGGCTCAGACAGACCCCCATACCTAGGGGACCGTTCTGCTGCATGACAGCGGATAGCAGCAAAAAAGCTCCTAAATAAAGTCCACTGACGTACGTTTAAGCTAAAACTTCCAGTGGGCTCAGATTAGGTTGTGAGAGCCAGGAAATGGATGGGCAGACAGGGGACCACAACAGGAGCATCCAGGTGCATTACCCAGTGACAGGGTGTGATTGGGTGTGACAGTGTGGAATTAAATTAGCCCTCACACCGCTATCTGTTCCACGTGCCGCGTCTGCAAAGATCAAATGGGACATTTTCCCACCTAACAGCTGGCAGACACTAAATCTTTAAATCGACACGAGCTCCCGTCCCAACTTCCAGAGCAAGAGGGGAGTCCTCTTCACTAAGTCGGGGCTCCCGAGTGGCGCAGCGGTCTAAGGCACTGCATCTCAGTGCTAGAGGCGTCACTACAGACCCTGGTTCGATTCCAGGCTATATCACAATCCGGCCGTGATTGGGAGTCCCATAGGGCAGCGCACAATTGGCCCAGCATCGTCCGGGTTTGGCAGTAATTGTAAATAAGAATTTGTTCTTAACTGACTTGCCTAGTTAAATAAAGGTTAAATAAAAAATTAAAAAGTAAGCTGACTGCTCGAGAGGGGAAGGAAGGAAAATGCACACGTGTAGCCTACACGTGCAGAGACACTTGTCAACTAGAACCAGAGCGGCTCAAGAAAAGAGAACATCAATGATTCATGGTATGTTACGGTTGGTGGGGTGGCAGCCAATGTTTTATTCTAGAATTACATACAGGATTTCACTGTTTCTTCACGGTTCAGTTCTGTTTTGGCTCTTTCAAGGCACGGGTTTGAGTAAAAGGCAGAAAATGGGTCTTTGGCACAGTCTGTGGGTACAACCCTGTAACCCTGTACACGTTTACTTGAGCTAAGTATGTGTACGCATACACACAACACGTATGTTTCTGCTGATTGTGACATGAGGAACATGAGCTCAGAGCCTGTTCAGATTACGAAGAGTAGGTGTGTATAAGAAGCCAAGCTTATGCCTTATGTAAAAATAGCGTAATTCACTCTACTGTGCTGTAAATGTAAGCAGTGAGGAAAATGTTACATGAATTATACAGTACAATACAAGCTTCCACAGAACAACTGCTGCTAACCAATGCACAGTGTGTATAAAAGCAAGGCATCAGTACCAATAGATCTAGCCTGGATGATTGAGCATTACATTACAACAGCAAAGCAAAATGAGCATGTCACAGCATAAAGGGGTCTTGCAATTAGAGACTACCCAGAACCTGAGTGCACAGTGGTTAGGGTACTTTTTAGCCTCTTACAAACACCTCTAACAGCCTTGCACATTGAGATGCTCCCCGGGAGCCAGAGAGGAGGTGGAGGAGAGTGGTAAAATAAGGCACATTGGGAAAATAACTGTGATAAGAGAAAATAGATATTCCCAAGCTTTCAGAAAGTAATTTGAAAGACTGGGATTGGAAAGCTGTCTTTCACTTGTAAAACACATTCTCAGAGGTTCAGGGGTTTTGCCTGCATCAGACAAGGGTTTCCCAACTCGCGGCCCGCCAAGTTTTCTAACAAACTTCTTTTTTTCCTTTCTTGTTTTAAATTGTTGGACATAAAAGACTGTAAAAACACCAAAGGTATTCCCACGCATAGTAGAGAGATATACACTGATTGTACAAAACATTAAGAACATCTTTCTAATATGGAGTTGCCATTTTGACCTCAGTATCGAAAGCGTTCCACAGGGATGCTGGCACATGTTGACTCCAATGCTTTCCACAGTTGTGTCAAGTTGGCTGGACATCCTTTGGGTGGTGGACCATTCTTGATACACATGGGAAACTGTTGAGCGTGACAAACCCAGCAGCGGTGCAGTTCTTGACACAAACTGGTGCGCCTGGCACCTACTACCATATCCCATTCAAAGGCACTTAAATATTTTGTCTTGCCCATTCACCCTCTGAATGGCACACATACACAATCCATGTCTCAAATTGTCTCGAGGCTTAAAAATCCTTCTTTAACCTGTCTCCTCCCCTTCATCTACACTGATTGAAGTGGATTAAACAAGTGACATCAATAAGGGATTATAGCTTTCCCCTGGATTCCCCTGGTCAGTCTATGTCATGGAAAGAGCAGGTATCCTTAATGTTTTGTACACTCAGTGTATCCAAATGTAAGCAAGGTTTGAAATGATTGTTTTAGTCAAATATTATATCTGTTTGGGAATCTTGAGGTCAATTTGCAGTCTACGAATGATTTGTAATTATGTTCCGGCCCCCTGACCATCCGTTCAAGAAAAGAAAAAAAAAAGCTTTTGATCCCAGCATTAGACTTTGTTCTTGTGATTTTCGAGAGTTGACAGAAGTAGGTGTGCGCATCATAGTAAGGTGAAGAAGAGAACAATTCGAATAAAAAAAGACAGCCTTCCCTAGGCCTCCGACGTCTATTTCCCTGATGGCTTCATGGCAACAACATGGTCAGTCATTTTATCACTGTGGCCATGACATCAAGTGACATCTGTCTTTCATAGGGGCCATCCCATGGTAGTCACAACCTGACACTGAGTGACAGTGTACAACAGGTAGACGTCTGGAGATAAAGGCTGGAAGGATGCGTCTGTGTGTTATGTCTAGTCAACCATACAGACAGTCAGACACGGCATATGGGAAGAGGGGTAAACAAAAACAACAGCTAAAATGCAATGAGCATGGTTGAGCCTGTTTGGTTGAGGCCGTTTAAAACTCAGTGAGGCACGGCTAGGTATAGTGGAGAATGGGAAACAATTTCTGACAAAACTGCTGCCGCTGAGTTGGACTTTTCTGACCTTTTCCCATTCGGAAGAGTATGGTGGAAATAGGGGGAGGGAGAGAGAAGGAAGATATCGTCTGTCAATCGATGTATTGGTATCCCCATTCATCTGAGAAACATGTTGGGAAATTTGCTCCTCACAGTCCTCCGCAGCATACGCAGTAGACAAACAGCCAAGATTCTATAGAACAGCATGACAAAACTCCACTACCACATAGAGACATACCAAGCTCTGGCCTCTGTGGAGGCTTGGTGCCTTGAGGAATTCCAGGGCAAGAGTGGGTGACTGGGCGGTAATCATTAACAGCGGCACTCAGCTCAGGTCCGGTTGTATTCAGTTAGTCAGACACAGGTAATCTCCCACAGAACCATTCACCATCCCACACCAGCACAGGGGCATCTAGGCCAATCAATTACATTGCTTGTGTGCCACAAAGCAGCTTATCAGCATTTACCACTACTGGGAAGAGAAAGGGAGGGAGGATCCAACAGCAGCTACGTCAGCAGCAATTCATTAAGCATTGCTGCCTGATGAGGCCCATACATGTGGATAGTGGCCTGACAATATATACCCTTGCTCGCTTCACATCTCGTTCAATGACACCAAAGGGTACTTCACTGTAGCGTACCATAGAGACAGCGCTAGGCTAGACTTTACTGCGAGAGGCTAAAATGAACCATCAAACATGCACTGTCACACACACACTTGATAGATTTAGTAGTAATTAGCTGAGTATATGGATTCTTTTGGGAGAGGAAGTGGAGCGGAGGAGGACAGCAGGACTGATGGAGGTGAAAGTTCTAGCTGTAATTACAACTAGTGGTCTGTCTCTGTACTAGTGGTCAATCCTGCACGGCTGGTGGTAATGGACTCCCCCACACACTCAGAGCTGCTTTCTCTCATCATTAGCTGTGTGGCAGCAGCAGGTGTGGAGTTTTCCCAGCTGGGGGGTGGGGGTCCAGCAGGGAGATGCCACTGATCACACAGATTCCCTTTGAGCCTAGTCTGGGGGGGGAGGAGGAGAGCGAGGAGGGTTGGGAGGGAGGGGGGTGTGGGTGACGGATGTTGGTGCTAACAGCAACCTGCTCCTCTTCCACTCTCGCTCGCCCACCTGTGCATCACCCATCCCACCACACCGCAGGGCCTAGTCATCATGGCACCATCTGGGATCACTCATGTCTCTATGAACCCTCCCCCCCTCCATCTCAGTGCTACTGATGCAGAGGCTAGAAGTCTGAGTGTGGCCTGCCTGGCTCCCTCTCCCCAGGAGGTGTCTAGACGGGAGCAGCTGGGGCTCCTGGGCAGGGCTGGCTGTGGCTATGGCTTGGTGCCAACCTGGCCATCTCCTATAAGCAGCCTATCTACCCACTGTCAATCAGGTCACGCCACCCTGGGCAACAGCTTCCCACACAGTAAAGACTGATCTATACAGGACACACTGAGGAGGTGTCAACACTGTGCTCAAAGTGAGGCAGGCAAATAGACACAGAAACCCGTCGCCAAAGATGCGTACCAAGTCATGCTGAGGTTCACTGTTTTCTGTTTGTTTAAACTGTAAGTCAAATGTTGGTATTTTCAATTCTGTGGCTGAAGCATTTCTCACATCTCACAGAAAATACAGCATATATTTGTCAAAGTAAGCATAAGGAGATTATAAAATAACCACTTACTTGATCCTGTCTGCATCTGATAAGGAGTCCTGCAACAACAGAAACACCCTATTAGTTTGGCCATTGTAGATATGTTTGCAACAAAATAGACATTTTGCTGGACTAGCAATCATTACTGGCTGTCATTTCCTGAGAATAAAGCATCGTAAAGAAAACAACATGCGCATGAAATCCCAGCTGCCCTGGCAAACTCTGCCATATGGGGGAAACATTGGTCATTTCTTTTAAAAAGGCTATCCATATACAACCTTGAGGCATTGAGCTAGGCAGGCAGTGAACAGACCTAGGAAACATTTGAGATGCACTCTGTAACAACAACACACATCATTTCAAAACACTCACAGGCTTTCAAGGACTGAACTAAGCAGAGATTGTACAAATGGTTCTACATTTATAATAACCAATTTCGCACTGCACAGAATTCAGATTCCTTGGTAGTTTTCAGTGTTAGCCACATTTCTGTTGAAGCCAAAGGGTAACAGAGATGAGCAGCCAGGGCAGAATTGTACATGATGTCTCATAGCACCACAGGTCCATACGTACACGCCTCATGGAGCTATGAAATCAATTTGACAGCCCCTGTAATTTACAGAGGAGCAGCCTGCACATCTATGGCACTTAAGAGGCTAGTTATCAGCACTATATTTATGAATATTGTAGTCTCATCTCTGTAGAATAATTGCACAGTATTAATCAAGAATATCGTTATGACATAATGGCCAGTATCAACAATGGATATACACTGAGTGTACAAAACATTGTCAGGATCTTTCCATGACAGACTGACCAGGTGAATCCAGGTGAAAGCTATGATCCCTTATTGATGTCACTTTTAAATCCACTTCAAATCAGTGTAGATGAAGGGGAGGAGACAGGTTAAAGGTTGTTTTAAGCCTGGAGACAAATCAATATTAGGAAGGTGTTCTTAATGTTTTGTACACTCAGTGTAGCGCTATAGCAGAATACAGTGCATTAAAATAAAAAGATCTACAAGTAAAAGGATGAACTAACATGACACAGCTGCACAACACTGACCTTTTCAGTTTGGATTGGACTAGAAAGCTGGCTAGTGAATGCCACTTGATTGTTTGTACAGTACGTTTCTACTCTTTCAAGCCATCTAGGGAAATGACATACCTTCAGTTATTGGCGAATGTAATTTCAATTTATAATATGACAAGAGTTGTAGCTAAGCAACTCGCAGGTTGAATCCGCTCGACACAATACACAGATATTTGTTGAGAAGGCTTCCAATTATTTTCTGGAAGGCATACAGTGGAGGGGGGAAAGAAATAACTTCTCCTCACATACCTTGACCTGTGATAAAACAGAAAAAGAGCAGTGTTGTGATACTTTTGTCACTTGTTCCCTCTCAGAGTGCAGCGGCTGGGGCACGTATTTAGCGGTGGGTTCATCCATAGCGTCCTTGTGCTGTGTCCTGATGTCCAGCTGAGAGGGCTGGTGCCGTTGTTGCTGGTGATGGTCTCCCTGCCGACTCTTGTCCTCCCAATCCGTCTCACTGCTGCGTCGAGAGCTGGAGTCCCCGCCACCCCCCACACGGCTGTAGATGGGCCCCTCAGCTTTGGGCCTTGCTCCCTCCTTAAGGGGTTCTGTCCTATGCTTCTCTGCATCCTGGTCAGGGATGTTCTTCTTCTGGGGGGGGTGCCAGGTCTTTGGCCGGCCCTCTTTTTCCTTCCTGGAAGGCCTGTCCCTGTCCAGCGCCGAGGACCACTCATCCCACGGCCGGTTCTTCGCAGACTTTCTCTCAGTTCCTCGCTTCTTCTTCGCTTTGGGAGTCAGGGGGGAATTCTGTGCCTGGTGCTGAGGCTGGTTTCCCTTAACTGGTATTGTGTCCTCTTGCTGTTTTCCACCCAGCATTTGCATTCTGGCAGGGCTGATGACCCTGGTGGTGACATCATCCAGGAAGTTGGAGAACTTCAGCTTATTTTCTAGGAATTGGATCTTTCTTTCTGAGGGTGCGGTGGAGGATGGGGAAACCTGTCTGGTTGAGGAGGTCTTGCCCAGAGACTTTCTCTGGGGCTTCCGACCTCGGCTCTGGCCTAGCATCTCGGCAGACTTGGACTTCCTGAGGTCTGAGAAGTGGACGCCCAGCTGGTTGGGCTGCTTTAGGATCCCCTTAGGAGGGAGGGCCAGTCTCTGGAAGGAAGTCTGCTGGTGGTGCTGACCTCCTCTGGGCACCAGGATCTCTGCATTGTTCTTGAAGACCAGCGAGCGGTCCAGGCTGCGACTGGACTGGGCTGGAGAGGTAGAGTAGCCACCTCGCTGGGAGTCATCTGAGCGGAGGTCTTCGTCTTCAGAGAGAGCGAGTAGGCCCTCACTGCGGCTCAAGAAGCGTCTCATCCCCTGCAAGTCCCTGGCAGCCTGGTTGGCTGTAACGCCCACTGTGATGCCTCCATGGCTGAAGATGCGGGGTGGAGGCAGGACGGTAAGATCCAGGCTGGACAGGCTGGAGACGTCCAGCTCACTGTCCGAGAACAGAGAACCAGGAGGAGGAAAATATATTGCAGCTCTCAGGACTAACTTGGCATTTCGGGGAGGGGTCTGTGAACGTTGTTTGCTGAAAACCTGGAGTATGGTTTGGAATGCGAATTACCTGGCAGGAGTCAGGAGGGTTGGGGCCAGCGGTGTGGGCAGGCGCAGGTGGCGTGCTCCCACTAAGGTCCTCTAGGAACGAGGGCAAGCTGTTGCGCGTCTCGCGGTGCTGAGGCGGAGCCTTGCGGTACGGCTTCCTGGCCGGGGCAGCGCTCGTCATCCTTGGTGCTCAGCGTCTGTCCGTACTGTCCGTTTGGTTATTCCTGCCAGGAGACAAGCATTAGATGTGATGGAAGCACCACCAGCCCTGAGCCTTTCCCTGTGCAAAAAGCCAGCTGTAAAAGTCTGTCCAGTTCCCCTCCCTTTCTCTCCCTCCCTTCCGAGCATGCATACTCTCTCCCTGGCTCTCTCCACTCTCCCTCTCTCCTAAAGCGGCTGCAACAAAAAAGTGGTTTGAATCAATAGGCTTTGATGAGAGCAGCAGCACTGGGCAGTAATAGAAACGGCTGCCTGGTGCAAACTGTCAGTAGCGGAGAGTGGAGGTAGGGGTATGGGATGCCACTTCAAATAAACATCAAACACAATTCAAGTGTCGTGATGGAGGGTTTTTTTAAATATCTGCTCTCAGAATTCTGCCTGCAGAGTATGTGTGTGCATACGTGTATGTGGAATAGAATGAGAGAGAGGAAAATCTGAGCATGCCCTCCAGCCTACAATTGATTACAAGCAGAAGTGTGTTTCCAATAGAGGAAGTTAAACTACAGTCCACTGACTGGCAGCATTATGGGCTTAGTGGGCTAAGTTTAGAATGTAAAAACTAGGTACATACGTTAGGAAAAGAAGCCACACCCCCTATCAAAATCGAAAACATGGACCACACACACACTGACGCACCGGAAGGCACTCACAGGCACACCCACACTAGTGGCCGTAAATGACAAAAAATCTGAACAGAAGAGCCTGTCACTATATCTATTCTGATTGATGACTTGGCTTCTGCTGAGTCACTCTGTAGCCCTGTGGATCCAATTGCCACAGTCAGTGGAGAAACACCAGAGCTGTCTATCCTTCCTGCAGCACAAATAAGGATACTGTAGTCCTCTCTATATCTATTATACATGTTACTTATGCCCCAGTCTGATGCACTCATTGCACTGTTAAGGCATCCGCATGCTTTCCAGCTGAAACAGTTCGGAAGAGTTTGTGCATATATTAATGACGACATTTGGTGACGTTTTTTGTTTGTTTTGATCTTTGGCAAGTTTTTTTTCCCGGTTGTCCGTGCACACATTTTTTCGAGGCAAGCTGAAGTTGGTAGCTGAAGTCTACGCCCCTTCATCGGTGATTAGTCAACATTAGGGATTATTTAATGAAGTGTTTGTCTTCAATGAGAGACGAATCGTTGATGCAATTTTTTTCACTGCACCAAACATCTTAGTTGGATGTAGAATTGCGCGACTAAGAGCTCCTCAGCAAAAACGTAAACATTTATGACAGATTTCTTGAGTTATCTTAGATTAATTTGGACTATTTGGAGGAATAGCTACTGCGTCTCAAAATGGATTATCCGTACTATTGCAGCTTTCTTCTTGTTTTTCTAGCGAAGGTCTTTTAAGGGAGTATGCGAGCACATATTCGCCAGCCGAACTGAAGCATGCCGACGCCTTAACCCATAGAAATCCTATTTTAAGAGGTTCAGATACAATAAACTAGATTGAAGGTCAGCACTTGAGATTCCATAAAAACATGCCACTTCAATACAGCTAAGACCAGAAGTGACTTTCCGTGACAGGTTAGGAGAATTTACAAAGATGTTTAGGAAAATTAACATAGCAGGTTAGGAGAATTATGTTAAGGTTAGGAAAAGGGTTAGCAAAAAATGCTCTCCTAACCTGCTACGTCACTTTCGGTCGTAGCTGTATCGAAGTGGTTTTAGGGAGTCCCCATCAGCACTTTGCTTTGTATCCCTGAGGAGAGCATTCTGAGATAAAATGTGAATGATTAGGAAAACGTTATTGAGGAATAAAAAGAAGGTCTAAGCACCACCTCTAGCTTTGCTCAAAGATTCCCTTCATTAAGAATAGTGCATAATTGCACAACTGGATTATGCCCTGGGGGGACCAATGAACATCAGCCATTGATCAGTCCACCACTTCCTGGGTCACGGATGCCCCTGTTCTCTCTCATGTCCATACATACCCCAGCAGCACAGAGGTGTTCATCATGTTGTTATTTTTACAGTGTGTGATCCGCTCTAACTGGTTAAATGGGAAAATAAAGGGAGCGAAAGGCTGGTGTGTCACAGCGGAATTCCAATGAAAGGTCGATGAGCTTCACTGTGACATGACAGCAGCTTGTGCAGTGCGGTGGGGTGGGGTGGGGCCACATGGTCAGAACTAGTGTATGCGACGTCAGAGCAGAGTGCCAATCAAATGTCACATGCGCCAAATAAAAAAGGTGTAGACCTTACCGTGAAATGCTTACTTACAAGCCCTTAACCAACAATGCAGTTAAGAAAAAATAGAGTTAAGAAAATATTTACTAAATAAACTAAAGTTAAAAAAATTTAAAATTAAATAATAATTACACAATAAAATAACAATAACGAGGCTATATACAGGGGGTACCGGTACCGAGTCAAATGTGCGGGGTTACAGGTTAGTCGAGCTAATTGAAGTAATATGTACACTACCGGTCGAAAGTTTTGGGTAGGTAGGGAGGGGTAAAGTGACTATGCACTGCTCTTCTCTGTGTCACGGAGGCTCTCCGCACTGCTAAAGCTAACTCTCTCTCCTCTGCTCTTGTCCTTCTAGACCTGTCTGCTGCCTTTGATACTGTGAACCATCAGATCCTCCTCTCCACCCTCTCCGGGCTGAGCATCTCCGGCGCGGCTCACTCCTGGATTGCGTCCTACCTGACCGGTCGCTCCTACCAAGTGGCGTGGCGAGAAGCTGTCTCCGCACCACGTGGTCTCACCACTGGTGTCCCCCAGGGCTCAGTTCTAGGACCTCTCCTATTCTCCCTATACACCAAGTCACTTGGCTCTGTCATATCCTCACATGGCCTCTCCTATCATTGCTACGCTGATGATACACAACTAATCTTCTCCTTTCCCCCTTCTGATAACCAGGTCGCGAATCGCATCTCTGCATGTCTGGCAGACATATCAGTATGGATGACGGATCACCACCTCAAGCTGAACCTTGGCAAGACGGAGCTGCTCTTCCTCCCGGGGAAGGACTGCCCGTTCCATGATCTCGCCATCACGGTTGACAACTCCGTTGTGTCCTCCTCCCAGAGTGCGAAGAGCCTTGGCGTGACCCTGGACAACACCCTGTCGTTCTCCGCTAACATCAAGGCGGTGACCCGATCCTGCAGGTTCATGCTCTACAACATTCGGAGAGTACGACCCTGCCTTACACAGGAAGCGGCACAGGTCCTAATCCAGGCACTTGTCATCTCCCGTTTGGATTACTGCAACTCGCTGTTGGCTGGGCTCCCTGCCTGTGCCATTAAACCCCTACAACTCATCCAGAATGCCGCAGCCCGTCTGGTGTTCAACCTTCCCAAGTTCTCTCACGTCACCCTGCTCCTCCGCACACTCCACTGGCTTCCAGTTGAAGCTCGCATCTGTTACAAGACCATGGTGCTTGCCTATGGAGCTGTGAAGGGGAACGGCACCTCTGTACCTTCAGGCTCTGATCAGTCCCTACACCCAAACGAGGGCATTGCGTTCATCCACCTGTAAATAATAAACAGCGAGTAGCATCAGTGTCCGGGTAGCCATTTGATGAACTGTTCAGCAGTCTTATGGCTTGGGGGTAGAAGCTGTTAAGGAACCTTTTGGACCTAGACTTGGCTCTCCGGTACCGCTTACCGTGCGGTAGCAGAGAGAACAGTCTATGACTCGGTTTGCTGGACTCTTTGGCAATTTTTAGGGCCTTCCTCTGATACCGCCTGGTACAGAGGTTGTGGATGGCAGGAGGCTTGGCCCTATTTATGTACTGGGCCGTACGCACTATCCTCTGTAGGGCCTTGCGGTCAGATGCCGAGCAGTTGCCATAACAGGTGGTGATGCAACCAGTCAGGATGCTCTCGATGGTGTAGCTGTAGAACTGTTTGAGGATCTGAGGACCCATGCCAAATCTTTTGAGTCTCCTGAGAGGGAATAGGTGTTGTCATGCGCTCTTCACGACTGTCTTGGTGTGTTTGGACCATGATAGTTTGTTGGTGATGTGGACACCAAGGAACTTGACGCTCTCGACCTGCTCCACTACAGCCTCGTCGATGAGAATGGGGGCGTGCTCGGCCCCCCTTTTCCTGTAGTGCACGATCATCTCCTTTGTCTTGATCACGTTGAGGGAGAGGTTGTTGTCCTGGAAGCATACTGCCAGGTCTCTGACCTCTTCCCTATAGGCTGTCTCATCGTTGTTGGTGATCAGGCCTACCACTGTTGTGTCGTCGGCAAACTTAATGATGGTGTTGGAGTCGTGCTTGGCCACGCAGTCGTGAGTGAACAGGGAGTACAGGAGGGGACTAAGCACGCAGCCCTGAGGGGCCCCCGTGTTGAGGATCAGTGTGGCAGATGTGTTGTTGCCTACCCTTACCACCTGGGGGTGGCCCGTCAGGAAGTCCAGGATCCAGTTGCAGACGGAGGTGTTTAGTCCCAGGATCCTTAGCTTACTGATGAGCTTTGAGGGCACTATGGTGTTGAACGCGGAGCTGTAGTCAATGAACAGCATTCTCACGTAGGTGTTCCTTTTGTCCAGGTGGGAAAGGGCAGTGTGGAATGCAATAGAGATTGCGTAATCTGTGGATCTGTTGTTGCTTTGTACGCATCTCTGTGTGTGGAGTAAAGGTGGTCTAGAGTTTTCCCCCCCCTCTGGTTACACATGACATAATGGTAGAAATGAGGTAAAACGGATTGAAGTTTTCCTGTATTAAAGTCCCCAGCCACTAGGAGCGCCACTTCTGGATGAGCATTTTCTTGTTTGCTTATGGCCTTATACAACTAGTTGAGTGCGGTCTTAGTGCCAGCATCGGTTTGTGGTGGTAAATAGACAGCTACAAAAAATATAGATTAAAACTCTCTGGGTAAATAGCGTGGTCTACAGCTTATCATGAGATACTCTTCCTCAGGCGAGCAAAACCTTGAGACTTCTTTAATATTAGATTTCGCGCACCAGCTGTTATTGACAATTAGACACAGACCACCACCCC